ACGTGACTCAGTCTGAATTAATACGAAGTGTGTTTATGGTCACTGAATAAGCAAAAAATCCTAAATTCTTCTGGTTAAACATTCAAAGATCAATCAGATTGATATTTCATATCTATGTAGAATCATCACATCTTATTGGTCATAATTTAACCCCCAAATCTCATTGCACTACAATGCTTTCCTCTCTCTTATCCCCGGCTTTCTACTGCACATCAAAGCTTCATAGAACATACTACGCTGCAATTAGCCGCGGTTAGAGTGGATGAGTTCCTTTCCACCGGCAGCTAAGCGTGATGCTAAGCGCGCGCCCCAGAAGTGAGGGCACGCCATTATGCCTCGAGTCTATTTTGACGGGCTACGCTTCCCAAACACGTCAAACTCCACAGTTAAAACTGAGTCAGACAGGAAGTTAAACACAAAAACAGTGTAGAACTTCTGGAATCTTTCGAAATAAATGTCACGCGCAGTACGTCATTTCCTGTGAACTAATGTAACTGATGTAAACAAAACAGGAAATAACCCACAGACATTTTTTCCTGCATGCTGCTGTCTTTCTTCTTGTTTATTATTGTGTGAGGCAGGGGCGCCTCCAGAAAATTGTGATGGGGTGGCCAGATGGGCCCAAAGAAATTTTTGGGGTAGCACACCAAATTTTTCCTTGTGGAAACTCTGGGAGAATTTAGCCTGTGGCGATGTACTGCATTGCACCTTTATTCATTTTTATTTAAATAACACTATGTGTCTAAAAAATTTAACTTAAATTTTACAAACGCAAACATTTTAGAAAAATACATTTCAGTTATTTAAAATTTTACCCCAAATTTAATTTAACATTTTATTTTTTTAAGGTTTATTCACCTGTGTTGCTGTGTTCACAAAAAAAACTATGGAGATAAAAACTTATTAAAAATGGTGAACAGCAGAAACATATGTATATTTTTTTTATTCTGATTATTTCTTTACTCATTAATTGTAATATATTTATTTTGTTTTACAATTATGTCTTGAATAAACAAGATTAATATATGGTTTGACTGAACATTAATGTGATTTGTTAACACTGGCTTTTCCTGGGGGGGGGGGGGGGGGGCAGCAATTTTCTAGGGGTGACCATGGCCACCCCTGGCCACCCCTTGGGGGCGCCCTTGGTATGAGGACATCTGGAATTACATATGGTGTTGCAATTCTGCTGTGATTACGTGACATCACGGGATCAGCTGCGAGGAACACTTACGCTCCTGTTTCGCATCAGAATTGCTCCCATTTGGGAATAAGCTCACTGGTAGAACGCCGCTATTATGTTGCGCGACCACTTTCACGGCCAGTGGAACGCCGGGGTAACGCTGTGCGAATGTGGTGCCAGCTCTGTCCGCGGCAGCCTTGTTGGTTTGGGGAAATTCTGCTCGTTCCCCTTGGGTTGCATGCCCTGCTCTAAAGCCATGTGATCACTGGACTGAAAGCTGGATGTCATTAATAACTGTGGCGGTGCGCACAGCTGCGGGGGAGAGGGAGACAGTTGATGCAGCTATCACGTAAGGTGCAGCAGACGTGCGGCAGAAGTAGCAGCACCGGGGCGAGAAGACAGCAGCAGAGCTTTTTCTTTCAGAGAAAACAACAAACAAGGCATCCATTCATTCTAGAGACCACACTAGTTATTAAAATAACTGGTGAATGCCCTCTTTAACCAAAACCACGATGGGCAAAAGCAACAGTCACATGTCTGATGACAAATGAGGTTTCAGGATGAGGATGCATCCCCTACTGGTACACTTTGCACATGGATTTGCCTCACTGATTTACAGGTGCAACTAAAAAAATGTCAACTTTTGTCGCTCATTTACTGTACAGATTTATCATATATGACACAGGGAAATATAACGGCTGTATTTCTTGTAACTATGATGATTATGGCCTAAAGATAAGAAAACCCCAAATTCTCTGTCTCAAAACATGTCAAAACTCGGGTCAAGTCAGCTAATTAACTCAAAACATTTGCTAAGGTTTCCTGAACATCTGAATCAGGGTTCTCCAACCCTGGTGCTCAAGGGGCTCCTGTTAACCACCACTGATTCAAATCAGGTTTCTTAAAGCACAGAAATCTTAGCTGTTTCCACACACCTGTTTCGCTGCATCTGGAGTTTTCAAACGAGCCTTTAGCGCAGGGGTAGTCAACTCTCTTCCCCGAGGGCTGGTATCCTGCATGTTATTGTTGTTTCCTTGCTCCATCACGCTTGATTCTCCACTTCAGCAGCTCATCAACCTCTGCAGAAGCCTGTTAATCACTTGCTGAATAAAATCAGGTGTGCTGAAGCAAGGTAGCAGGGACACCGGCCCTCAGGGAAGGAAGTTCAAAACCCCTTCAGCTTGAATATGCGTGTGTGTCTCTAGAATTTCAAGGATTTTCTGCTTCATCTCACTTGATTTGAATATGTGGTGATTAACAGGCTTCTGCAGAGATTGACCTGTTGAGCAGGTAATTTAATCACTGAATCAGGTGTGTTCAGTGTCTTTGTGGACGCTTTCATCCTCTCCTGCATTGAGAGGGAAGCAACTCTGAAACCGAACCTGCAGCACAAAAGACTCTAAAACAAAGACTAAAAGGAAAGTTACTACTGTGCATTTACAATGAAATGCTAATTAAATCATTGGGGGGGGGGGGGGGGGGGGTGTCTACATCAGGCTTTTAGAAGCTTTTTAAAAAAAAGAGGTCATTTTGAAAGATCTTGATTTTTGTGATTCAACAAAAATAATAAAAGCTGCTAAAAGAAAATTTGGTCAAAGCAGTCCTTTCACAATCATTTCGAGCCATATTTTATTGTCTTTTTTTCTTTTGGCATCAATTATGTCCTTTTCAACTGACATGGTCATTAAAAAAGTGAATTTTTACACTTTCACACAAATGCACATTTAATGGGGTGCACTGGAAAGGATCCTCGTCTGTTCTTTCCTTCCCTGGAGAACCCGACAAATGATGCTAGCTCATATTTGATTTGCTTCTGAGTTCCTCTGTCGTATTAAGATGATGTATTTAATATTTTTGAGCATAATGCGACCCTAAATGTCAACATACACCACAACGGTCGATTAGCTGCTTCTCTGATGATCTTTTCTCATTACAAACGTTGGTCTAATTTCACAGGGAGAGGCAGAGAGAATGCAGCCACCCTTGTGACGTTTAATAAACTATGAGTCTTAAAACTGAAACCCTGATGCCTAATCAATATTGGAAAGTAATTTCTGATTAGCTGTAATTTCTCTCGCTTATCATCTTGGTGCTAAAGAGTTGAACTTCACCGTAAGGATCAATGGTCATGAACAGGAGCATTCTGACAGAGTGAATGTAATGTAACCTGAAATGTAAATCCATTTCAGGTTATTATTCACCTCTAAGATCCCAACAGGAACCCGTTTTCAGCCGATACCTCTGCTCAGGCTTTTTCCACCTCAAGATGTTTTTTTTTGTTCCCTACCCACCACAGATCTCAGAAGGAGGTTCAGATTGCTGACCACCACAGCCCGGTGATTACCTCGGGAGCATTTTTCAGAAATTGTCAAAAATCTTCCTGTGATTTGAAAAGCATCATTTCTCCCTTTTAGCTGCGAATTACAAAGTTGTGCCTTTACTACCCACGGTGTCAGACTGTCACAATGCCTGCTTGTTTCTGTAAACACATTTTCCAAAAGAGCTCCAACATTTCCAGATGTGATTCAGACACACTGGTGATGCAGATTAAGACTAAATGTGGCTTTAAATGGAAACATTGTTTTTATGTTGAATTAATTACTGCATTCATGCAACAACAACAAAAAAATACACTTTCATTTAGGGAAATTATTTCTTTCTTTTTTTTTTGTTGTGTTGCACTGCCCCCTACAGGTCAAATTTTAAAATGCTGCAGATTGTGTTTCAGATTTGCAACTGTTTGAATTTATAGGTAGCTTTTGGTTTGAGTGCTGCAAAGAACAAGCTGGTAATGGAATGATTTTCCTTGTGATCGCAGGGGAACTTTCACATCAGTGCAGCTGGAATGTAAAACCACTTCAGGATTGTTTTTTGTTCTCATCTGTTAAGTGAATTAGGGACAGACCGATATGCCGGTTGGCCTGTTTTATAAATAATAGAGCTGATTCATGCGGCCTAGGTAATTTGAATTAAATGTATTTTTATGTTCATGAAAACAAACATCTGCTTAATAAGCACTCTAAATAGACTTTTTTCACCAGTTTACTTAAAAGTCTGATTTGAATACTGAACAGAGCCTCAAACTAAGAATCTGCTAAATACAGATAAACTGATCCACGTTTTAGCACGTGAATGAGGCGGAAAACATTGCCCATCGGCTACATGAAGACCAACATCGGTCGACCTCTGACCTGAACCCCTTCACACAAACGTGCACCCTTAACCGTTCCTAAAACTGCTTCTGCATTTGGCTCGTTGTCCTTTCAGTCTGCTGCTGCTAGACTGGAACAGCCTTCAAAACAACCAAAAACTGGACTCGCTCATCTCAAAGGCAGCTTTCCAAGCTGGAATCACAGAGCATGTTAAGGATACCTGCTGTTGTCACTATTTATCTTCTTTTACCTTCATTTTTGTGTGTATTCATGTTACTTTTTTTTTTCTTATTTATGCTGCTTTAAACTATTTTCTGGTATAGTCCTCTCTCCTTTTCATTCAAAAGGCCACAGTTGCAAATAGGTCTGTTCTTAATCTGTTTTGCCTGGTTAAATAAGGTTAAATAAGAATAAAAAATAAATTAATGTTGCATAAAGATTAAGGAAGTGTGAGACGTCAACCAGATTTTGCTTCACATTTAAATAAAACTTTGTTTTGTTTACATCAGTTCTCATTCCGTTTTACAGCATTTCTCCGGAAACCATTAAGCTTTACTCAACACCTACAAAGTATAATCGCACATGCATGCCCTATTATTCACAGCGGCCCTAAACCATATTTTAGAGACTCTGAAATCCAAGAAAGAACCAGCCAATCCATGCCATTCCAGATTTAAAAAAAACGTCTATTTATTTCAGAAAGGGCAACATAAATACTGAGCAGCTCATTAGTGCCTCCAGATCCTATGACAACTCTTTCGAGATGAAAAACTGGTTTAACAGAAATTAAATTAGTTGAAAAAGGACTCGGATGCAGATTCTCGTGAGCATGACAATATCATTAAATGCCTATTTTTACAGTGTCATTTAAATCAAGCAGCAACATGTCACTCAAAACCGCAGAGCAATGTTCCAGAGTCAAACCAAATTCAAGATCCTCTGGTTTCGTTCTGGCGCGATGCACTAGAAGATTAACTCGTGTAGAACTTTCACTTCTCACATTTTCTATCACTCTAAAAAGTTGGAATTTTTTCTTTTTTATACACAAGTTCAGCAAGTGTGACAGGTGGGTTTGATCAAAAGTTTCTGGCAGACATATTTCCACAGACGTCCTTGCACCAAGACAAGGGTGGTCATTTCCTCAACGCGTACAACTCCACAACCATTGTTCGTAAATGTTAAAGTCCAGTCTCCAAGTCCAGGATGATCAGTCCAACGATCCCGTCACTACACCTTTGTCTGGCAGCGGAACATCTTCTGTGGTCAGCGGATCCAGGGCACACAAGGACTGATCTTTGCAGGACCTAGAGAACCTCCTTTATGATTTTGGGTTGGGTAGAGGGCGTCGGAATAACAAAATGTGTGGTTCTGGATGGGAAAAGGAGCAGAAACCATGTTAAAATAGCTCAAGGTAACTGATACAAAAAAAAGTTTTAGTTTCCAATTACGGTAGTCTTTTTTGATCAAACTTCTCTGGTGCAGGTTTCTCGGCATCACTCTTTTTAAATGCATTTGAAACTACTCAAACAGGTATGAGTAGTTCATATGCATGCTCTTTAGTAGCATTCAGTAGTAAAAAGCCGTTCATTTGCACCAACTAGCAAGAATGTTTGAGGAGATTCTAGTTTCACCTCAACATTCTTGACCGAACAAGAATGTCACAATAAACTGTGAACACATTTAGCAAATAAGTTACTCATTAGACTTGAAGACAATTGGGAACAGAAATTATGCCATTTAATTAAGTTATGAGTCGATTTTAATCTAAATATTTTACTTAAATAACAACTTAGAAATTCTCTGCTCACAGAGTTTTACAAGAATATGTAACCCATAGGACTTATGTGCCAAGTTGTCAAAAAGCTGTGATCAGTGAATTATTTTTCATTATTTACCGGAAGTTCTGGATGTGGTACATTAATATTTTCAAAATGAAATCAAGAAATCCAGTATTATTGCAAAATATGTCCAAAAAAAGCTTTACTGTTCTGTGCAAAGCAGAGGTATGATCATTATACCTGGCTGATGGATCATGTAATGAACCCATCCTTGACTCTGCTGGACCCCGAGGTTCCTCCACTCCGTCTCCGTCATCAGATGGGTCTTGGGCACACGCTTAGCGATCTCTTTTGGTAGCATTACATGTCTGTACCAAAAGAAAGTTTAAGATCACTTTAAAGGAAAGCCAATTTGTTCACAACGCTTCGTTTAACGAGGCTGACAAATTTTTAAACCCACGCTGAATGTATCGTTTCTACAGCGTACAGAAATGCTAACGGCAAGTCGAGCTGTAGAAATAACACCCACCTGTATTCGTATTTGTCATCGTCATATTTGTCAGAGTAGTATATCTGTTTATGAGACATGATGTCGGAAACCTGATGAAAGACGTGCAACAGTTGGTTGACAGCCAGAATGAGAAACAAGTCAAATTCAGTTCAGCAAGTTCATGTTAGCAAGGGTGGCTAGTAGCTTAGCCGGCAACTGCCGTAACTTCACTAAAACAAAACAAATATTTAATTTGTCATGTAGCGAATATTTTTTAAAGTTTAAATTTACCTCACAAAAGTGCCAGGATATTTGGAAATGAACTATAAACTTGTCCAAAAGCTCGCGACCAACAACAGCAAGATGTTTCCTGTCCCTTTGTTTCCCTCGCTAATGTTTTCCAACCCACTTTTCATCGTTCAAAAAGTCTTGGCCTCATCCTATTGGCCCATTTGGCAGAACGACTTGCTTTATATTGGTCGGTCCCGAAAAACGGAAATGACGAAATTGTAGCCAACTTCTTCATTGGTGCGCTTGCGCTTACGTAACCTTAAGAAGAAGAAGAAGAAGAAAATATTTCTATAGCGCCACACAAGATAAAAATCACGAGGCGCTTCACAACAACAAAAAATGTAAAAATATAAAAAGAATTTAGAAAATGGTTAAAAATATATTTAAAATGGGCAAAAAAATAGGCAATTGTAATTAAAAAACAAAATGTTAAGAAAGAGAGAGAGTGAGTAGGAAAGAGGGAAATCAGTGGATCCTGAGGAAGGTGGAATAGGTGGGGAGAGCAGAATAAAGAGAGAGTGGTGAAGAAGGTCATACAAAAGCCAGCGAGTGAGTCTTCAGCTGCTTTTTAAAGGAGACCACTGAGTCCACTGATCTCAGGCTCAGGGGGAGAGAGGTCCAGAGTCTGGGGGCCACAGCAGTAAATTATCTGTCACCTTTGACCTTTAGCCTGGTGCTGCACAACCAGTAGGCTTTGATCACTGGACCTCAGGGACCTGCTGGGGGTGTAGGGACTAAAGCCGGGCGTACACTGTGCGACTTTTTCACTCGTAGCATTCAGCTTCAGCTCAAACTGTACGACTTCCTCGCAGGGCAGATCTCACGAGTCAGGCGCTCACACTGCACGACCCAGTTCTCGGATGCAACCTGACTGCTCACACTGCACGTCTGGTAGCAACACGTCGGCCCTAAAAATATGCTAAAAATAGCAGTTTTTACTCAACACGTCAGACTTTTTTGTCTTGCCTGTCCTTCGGGAGTGCTGCAGGAGGACACACAAGGATTTATGGGGGTTGGATGAGTAAAACGAAATAAGGAAAGTAAATCTGTGTTTTGTGATAGTTTAATTTGACATGAACACGACAAACACGCTTTCTTGACAGTCTTTGTGAGTAAAAAAACGTGTAGAAACAAAAACGAACAGCATGTGTTATTAGGGAAATAGCGAGCGGCGTTGATGCAGGATTGCGCATGCGCCGTGAGAGGTTCTGATACTTTTTGGGTCGCAGCTGCTCGCAGTGCCGCTTCAACAGTGCGATACCCTCACGAGGGACGAGCGAAATTTTAAACACGCCAGAAGTCCGTGCGACCTCACGATTGCTGATCGGCAGCTGGTCACGTGGTGTTAATCGCCTCTCGTAACCCCCTGTACACTACACGACCGCTCGGCGCAAAACTCGCCCCGATGTCGTGGATTCTCGCACGACTGGAAAATCGGCTCAAAAAAGTGAAAAAGTCGCACAGTGTACGCCCGGCTTAAGAAGATCACCAATGTAAGATGATGCTTGTCCATGTAAGGCCCTATAAACCAGAACCAGGATCTTGAAATGAATCCTGAAGTTGACTGGCAGCCAGTGAAGCTGGAGGAGAAGCGGGGTGATGTGGGTGTATTTGGAGGACTTGGTCAGAAGCCGAGCACAGGCATTCTGAACCACCTGTAGACGGTTCAGGGAGGTTCTGCTCAGACACGTGAAAAGAGTTACAGTAGTCTAAGCAGGAGGAGATGAAGGAGTGGATAACTGTCTCAAGTTCAGAGCGGGACAGAATGGGACTCAGCTGTGTCTTCTTCCAGCTCTTGGAGGGTGCAGATGCTTTTTCTTCCCCTCTCCTCCATATCTTATCCTCAAGGCCTTTGTCTGTCTGTGTGTGCTGCGTGCACGGCTGCTTCTGCATTTTTTCTGGAAACTGGAAACTGAAATTCACTAAAATGGATCTCGTCAGTTGGTCACTCAACGCGGTTGATAAAATTTTTTCAACGATGAGAACGGGAGAAGGGGCTCCCGGATGCTCCTCCAGGACAGACCAGCTGTCTGTGGAGGACTCTGAAGATGTGTGGATATTCATGGTGTTGGTTTCGGGTTTCGGGTTTCCTGCTGATCGGCATTGGAGGCTACCTGGCTTACCGGAAAATTAACGAGCTGTCGAGGAATATTGGCCGTGTAACGTGATGAAGGAGGCATTTCTACCCTAACAGCTGTTTCCTTTTGACACAGTGTCGGTGTGCATGAAACAGCCTCAAGGTCATGCATTCGCTTCTAAACTGTTTACATTCCAGCATGAAGACAGAAGAAAGAAGAATGAACTCTTTTCTTTTAATTAATCAAATAACTCTATTTTAATAAAGCTAATCCATCAAAGTGTTAGTCAATAATAAGATGTGACCGACCTGTGAAATTGAAATATTAATTATTTTATTATGATCTTAGAAAATAAGTCTGTAACCTTAAATGTTCCAACAGGACACATTTCACGTAGTGTTAAAATGACATAACACATTCTTTCACTGATCCAATCAGAATTTTACAGATCTGACGGAGGCGTGCTTCTGACGGTGTTTGGTAATTTTCATTCGACAATAAACCATAACATCCGAGGTATAAAACTGCCACGTCAGCTCTAACGCCAGTTCAAGCGTTCCAGAGCAAGCGTCAGAGTGGCCAATCCGACCTTTAACTCTTCAACCGAAAGAACCTTGACAAGCTGAGAAAATCCAGTCGCTATAGCAACAAGCAACAACAACAGCTCCTTTCAGAATAAAAGCTCCACCGACCCAACTGAAGATCAAGATCAGAGACAGCAAGGAGGCAAACAGGAAGAAGCTGGAGAACAAACTACAGAGGAACAATATCAGAGATGTCTGGTCAGGGATGAAGAAGATCACAGGATTCAAGCAGAGGAAAGATTGCACTGATGGCAGCCTGGACACAGCCAATGAACTGAACAAGTTCTTCAATAGGTTCAGTTCAGGAACAAACCCAGCATCCTCCTCGCCTGTCCCACGCCAATCAGACATCCCGTCCTCCTCTGATCCAACATTTTCCTGTCACACACCAGCTCTTTTGTCCTCTAACGCAGTCATGGACTCTTCTGGTTCTAGAAATCTGTCTTCAACCAAATCAGGAGATGCTGCTGCCCCATTTAGCTCCCCCTCCCACCTGTCTGTCTCTAGAAGTCAGGTGAAGAGGCAGCTGGAGAGACTGAACAGGAACAAGGCTGCAGGTCCAGATGGTCTCAGCCCCAGGGTACTGAAGGCCTGTGCAGAGCAGCTCTGTGGGATTCTGCAGCACCTCTTCAACCTCAGCCTGGCCCAGGAGAAGGTTCCAGTCCTGTGGAAGACATCCTGCCTTGTTCCAGTTCCAAAGAAAACTCGCAAATCAGTCAATGACGACTACAGACCGGTTGCCCTGACATCCCACATCATGAAGGTCCTGGAGAGACTCCTGTTGGTCCACCTGAATAAGCAAACTAGAACATATCAGGACCCGCTGCAGTTTGCTTATCGCCATGGAGTTGGAGTTGAAGATGCCATCATCCTGCTGCTTCAACCAGTCCACTGTCATCTGGACAAAGCAGGCAGCACTGTGAGGGTCATGTTCTTTGACTTCTCCAGTGCATTTAACACAATCCAGCCTGATGTACTTTGCCAGAAACTCCAGAAGACACAGGTGGGGGCCTCAACTATCGCCTGGATTAAAGACTACCTGATAAACAGACCAGTTTGTGAGGCTGAAGAACTGCACATCAAACCAGGCGATCAGTAACATTGGGAGCACCACAGGGGACTGTACTCTCACCATTCCCTTTCACTCCGTACACCAAAGACTTCCAGTACAAATCAGAGACCTGTCATCTACAGAAATACTCAGATGACTCTGCAGTTGTTGGGTGTATCAGAGATGGACAGGAAGCTGAGTACAGAGAGCTGGTGGAGCGCTTTGTGGCATGGTGTGGAAACAATCATCTGACCTTGAACGTGAACAAAACAAAGGAGATGATTTTAGACTTCAGAAGTGGCTTGGGCAACTAGTTAGGATGCCTCGCTGATGACGCTGGAGGTACTCTATGTAAAAGGCACCAAATGTGTTGACTCACTCAGGCAACACAATGGAAGCTAAAAGATGTGCACCAGCATCGCCACATCTGTGGTTTAAAATCCAAATCATCTCTGCATCATATATGATGATTTGAATCAAAATCTGGCATCATTTTGGCAGTTCCAGGAAACAGAATGTAACAATGATCATCTTCACGTAAAACAAGACCAAGCCACTATTTGAACACTACTAATAGTCAGAATTAAGGGTGACCACAAAAAGATCAGATCGACCACCATCACTAAAATAACATCTTACAAAACTGCAGCTATAGCTTCTTATTAATAACAGTGTTTTATTTGCTTGGTTTAGCAACTATACAGGCGTCTCCTTCCTGAGTATCCGGCTCACCACAGAGGAGAGGGTAGAGAGGAAGAGGCGAGAAAACAGATAAACATAAGGTGCCAGAAATTGGAAACAGACTTACAAATATATAAATAACTCCAGTGAAGGTAGGTAGAGAAACGGGGTAGAAAAACATGGTGACCACATCAATTCAATTTTATATATTAAAAAAAAAACATCCAAATGACTGTCAAACACACCTAATGATAATAATGGAGACATTTTTTAAAATAATCCTTCTGGCGCAAATGTTCCTTTTTTCAAGGCAACAAATAAAAACATGCAGATTAAATTAGATCTATTCTCTAAAACATCTATTAATGAAAAATACCGGCTCTCATGCTTACTTATATATATATATATATATATATATATATATATATATATATATATATATATATATATATATATATATATATATAATGTTGCGTAAATCATGATAAAATTGTTGGTTTGTATATACCAACAGGTCCTTTTAGTTAATTACCAGTTATTTATTACCGCGGTCTAATTTAAATCCAGTCCTCAGGATTCTGTCCCCTCCAACGTCTGTTTATGTTAACAACTCAGAAATGTGTTAAATATAGTTTTTATGTTTTTTTTTACTATATAAATTAACTTAAAAAGGTTTCATCTGGTTGTTTTTCTTTTTTCTCAATTCTAGAATTCATCTCCTTTTGGATTCTCTTGCATCCTGACACAGAAGCGATCGTTAAAGGAGAAAAATAAGATGACATTGTGTGAATCGTTAATTTATGTTTGAATAAAGTTCAAGAGGAAGACTGAGAATCTAAAACTGAAAATGTCAATGCACAAACATCAATGTTGAAGATAAAAAAAAGCACATTTAAAAAAATTGTAAAATCATCTTCATCGTCCTCTTCAAACTGGATTTTCACTTCCAGTTACCGCGATGAAGAGTTTATTAATCTGTCGTGTCCTTCGAACGTGCCTCCAAAACCTGATTTTATCTGCATTCTTCAGATTGAAACCGAAGTCATGGATGACTTTTAAAAAAGAGGAAGGGAGATGCATACATCAGTAATAAAGTAGAAAATACAATAAATGTTTCCAAAAAGAGGAAAGGAAGCTGTGATTGTAGAACAGAGGGCTGATCGTTTCAGTCCATGCTTTCATCACAGACATCCAACGCTACGTCCAGGCAGCCATCCGTTTAAACCCTCTGAACCTGCCCTGAAGCAGGAGTCTTTGGCTTGATTGGATCTTAGACTAATGTGGGTGGATCTGGTTGATCATCTTGAGTCGTGATTGGTCGATGACGTCCAGCAGGTTCTTGGCGTCGACCGCCAAAGCGTGAGCTGCCATTAGCATCTGTTTCTTGTAGTCCTTTTGTAAACTGTCACCGGAAACGGACACGGTTAGTAAAGTACAGCTTGATTTCTTGTAACGATTCCACGCACACCGACGTTACCTCGTCATGACGTATTGCTGCGCTAGCTTCATTTTCGCAATCAACTCCGCCAGATCAGAATTCAGCAGCTTCTGGGCCATTTCGATCTGTAAGAAATCAAAATGGTAAGTGCTTATTTCTAAAAGCATAAAGTTCAAGTTTATTTGTGAAGACCCTTCCAACCGCCAGTCAAGCAGGCCCAAGGTGCTGAACATAATGTAAAAACAACTCACACACAATCAATCAGCTTTATAATTAAATAGAGAAATAAAACATTCAAACTAGGGATGGACAATATATCGGCTTCAGTACAGGTGTCGGCCGATGTTAGTCATTTTTTAACATATCGGTATTGGTTCAATAAATAAAACCGAGCCCATATTAACAACCGATAGTTTTTCTAGGGATGTCCCGATCAGGTTTTTTTGCCCTTGAGTCTGAGTCATTTGATTTTGAGAATCTGCCGATACAGAGTCCCGATCCGATACTTTCAATACATAAAAAAATAATAAAAAAGAAAAAGAAAAGGAAGAAACAGTTCCAGAATGTTCCTTATTTTTTATTAATGACCTTTTTTATTTGAATTTTTAACAACAGATCACTTCTGTGAGGTAGCTTGAACAATCAAGTAATAAATAACATAAATTCTTCACTTTTGGACTTCACTGCAAATATAAAAAGTCTAATATAAAAACAGATGGCACTTCAACTTAAAATACCTGGCAGGGGTCTATTGTGCCTCAGCCCCCAAAATGCTTAGATACGCCCCTGGGCATGGGATGAAGTTTTGAAGATGATCTGAATTGTATCAACTATATAAATACTACATGCTGATAAGTTACTGATTTATACAGGTACAAACGTGTAGTGGGATAAATCTACCTACATTTTTTTAAGAACTTTCTTTTGTTTTCTTGGTTTGTATTTTCCTGTCTTCCTGTCCTGTCTGCCTCTGATCTTCCTGCATCTCCCAGTCCTCCAGAAGAAATCCTGCCTGCTTCCTTCTTTTTCACCTCACAAGTAACTTTTTAACTAGCAGATCAAATTGATCTATTGACCGCAAAAAAAGCGGAGTGTGCGCCGCGCCGCCCGGCTGAGCCAGTGACGAGCGCTGCAGCGTGAGCGCGTCCACACGTCATGCTCAAATACAGACAGAACTTACCAGAGAGAAAATGAACGGACATGAATCACTGTGTGTTAATTGTATATTTTTGGTGATGCCGCTTGAAACTTAGAAAATGTTACTGTGGCCGTGTGCAGAACGCAGCTGGAGTTCATGAATAATCAGCGGTCTGCCTGCTGCTCTGCTCTAAAGAATCCCCGCTACGCTGAGTCCATGTAAATAATATAATAAAGGTAGAAACTGGATCTCTTTTGTGCTCCTTCTGGGTGTGTAAGGTCAGGGCAACAGGGGAGACTGACAACCTTTAAGGAGAACCAAGTTGCTCTCCTGTAATTTGAACCCAGTATCTGAGTCCGGATCGGGAAGTAAACCCCGAGTCCCGATCAGTCTGAAACCACGTGATTGGGGCCGATTTCCGATCATGTGATCGGATCGGGACATCCCTAATTTTTTCCATCTTGTCTCCTTTTGTTTGCCTGTTTCAGAGCGTGAGGGGGTGATGTGTAATTGTTTAGTCATGTGAACAGTGAAAGAAATCATCTCACAACCGTAAGTGTGTGTGTTGTGTGTACATAATAATGTAAATTCAGCTTTAATAATTTTGATTCTATACAAAATCTGCTGATTTTAGAAGCATTAATGTCAGTATATCGGTACCGGCAAATATCGGTTATCGGCCATAACAGTGATCTTAATATCGGATATCGGCCCAAAAATTTTATATCGGTGCATCACTAATTCAAAGATAAGAGTTAAAAGCAACAAAACAACAATGAAGATAAAAACATTAAAACATGAGGAGAAAAACTAAGAAATACATCTAAGATACGCCTTAAGCCTAGCTTTATAAGTGGGCAGCGATGTGGACCGTCTTGTTTCTAGTGGCAGTCGGTTCAAAAGCCGAGGAACCAGAACTGAAAGGGCACGATCACCTCTGGTCTTACGTTTTGACCTCGGTACCACTAGGAGGTCACCCTGAGCCGAATGTAGCGATCTTGAAGGGACATAACGGGATTATAAACACATCAGAGAATTTCAAATAAATACGTAAAACTTTAAAGAGTTGTAGAATTCAAAACCACATCCAGCTTGTTATTGAATATAGGTAGTGTTGGACGTCTAATGTAGTACACCAAAAAGTCTGTCGTCTCCGACGTGACTTTCAATGCATATTAGTCATTTTTTAATGTCCATGGAGAAACGATGTTCTGAGAAAAGCTGCAATAACAACGTCAGTAAATTTACATTTCTCAACCCACTTCAACCTTGGTAATATATAAATATTGGTGGCACTATTGCTAAACGCAGAACAATGCAAGCTTTTGTTAAAGCCAGACTGATCGACTGCTAATGCTAGCATGAGCTATTGCAACTGTCTGGTTTGACTAGAGGAAAGTGCTAAAGACGACGTTGGAGCACACACTTAACATTCCAGGATGTACCGGGAATAATTAGCTTGCTTGTTGAGTTAACGGGATACGGAACATGGCTGTACACAGTTTCAAGCTTCAGGCAGCATCATCAAGTCATCAAGGTGAACTGGCTAATCCGCACGCAGCTCGTTTAACTCATTCACTGCCCATGACGACTAAAGTTGTCATTTGCATTTTTTTACTGTAAGGGCATGGGAACGAGCCCCCACACCGTGAGAACAAACATCCCAGCTCTAAAGCCAATCTTAATCCGCATACGTCACATGATCAAGAAGCAGAAAATCCATGTGTTAGGAGATCGTTTTGGGCCGCTGCTGTAAAAAAAGTGAGGCGTGAACAGGAAAAGCTTCTGCCGATCACAATTCGACAACGGATTATGAAAGAACGGATAACGCTCAAAACGCATGGATTCTTCCTGATGTAAGAGGTGAGTCTCCTCTTTGTTTTGGTAGTTTTGGCGTTGACATCATCATAGAGCGCAATGTTCTGTGACTCTTAAAAAAACAGTAAAAATGCTGAAAAACGCTGGCAGCGAAGGGCTTTACTGATCAGGAAGCAGCCAGCAGTGAATGAGTTAATATTCACATGCCAGCCAAGTGGGCGGGGCAAACCAGTCTTTGTAGAGTTATGGGGCTTCATGACAACATTGTGTTTGGTCATTTGTCAGGACTCCTGGGCCATTTTGAGCCCCAACAAAGTTTGATATGTTATATAGAGGCTCGAGGTTGTAAACAAGTTGTTCTTGGAAACATTGAAAGCTGATTTTAATATTCAACTGTAAGAGATTACCTCTCTGTGTGTGCTGGCGGGCAGCACGGGGATTGTTTCATCTACTGTTGCCAGTAGAGTCCTCAGCGCCAGACCCACTTCCTACAAAATAAAACACAAATTCTAATTAAAATGTGCTTAAAAAACAGTTTGAAAGAGTCCTTTCTTTAAAACTCTGCCTGTTACCTTGACCATGGGGACGTACTCCTCAGGTGCAGCAGGCTGAATCCTGTTGGACATCTCAATCACAGATTTAACCAGCCCCGTCACGTTCTCGTACACTTTGTCGTTGGAGCGATCCAGGTTGGCTGTGGGCGGCGGGCTGATCTCCTGAGGCTGCAACTGAATTGAGTTGGTCACATTGTCAGGTAAATGCATTCAAGGTGGCATTCTACAAAAATATCACATTTTATTTGAAAAGAAAAAAATTAACTGGAAACTAAATAATGGTGTTAGGGTTATTGAATGACGCAGCAGTGTCAGATTCAACGCTAGGTGACAGCACATGCAAAGACAGGACAGCTAACCACAAGAACTCTTTTAAATGTTCCTGTTCATTTGCATTAGTTGTTAATCCTAGATGGTTTTTCTACAATGAGTGATGAGTTCAATAGTTAGTTCATGAGGCTCTTCTGTCATTGATTCCAGAACTGCGCTGCTCTGGGTGGCTGCATGTTGGAGTAGATCTGTTGACTATATGTAAGTTTAGCCTTTTCTTGGACATTTTTTCTTCTAGTTTCGTATTTTTCTGGACATTTTACTTTTCTGTTTCTGGTGCTGTGAAGCTTGGGGGATTTTCACTGCTATTTTTTCACTTTTTTCAAATTTTGAGCATTTTTTTATGATGCGTAACTATGGCAACAAGCTGGTTTACAATCGGGAGCAGCTGATTAACATTGGAAAGGCTGAAATAATACCTCAACTGAAGCCACAAATCCCAAATGAGCAAAAAACGCAAGAAGCGTGGGTGCAGAGAAGGAGCAAACCGGAGACGGAGAAAGAGGAAATTCAAACCATCTCTTCCATCGGTCATAATGGGCAATGTGAGATCATTGGCCAACAAGATGGAGAAACTCCAAGCCCTTTCAAGGACTCTGCCAGAGTTTCGACAGTGCAGTGTTATGTGTTTCGCTGTGACGTGGCTGAAGGACCATATCCCCGATTCCAGCGTCTCTCTGCCAGGATTCCTGACTGTACGAGCAGACAGAGATCTGAGCACAGGTGGGGGCCTCAACTATCGCCTGGATTAAAGACTACCTGACAAACAGACCACAGTTTGAGAGACTGAAGAACTGCACATCAAACCAGGCGATCAGTAACATTGGAGCACCACAGGGGACTGTACTCTCACCATTCCTTTTCACGCTGTACACCTCAGACTTCCAGTACAAATCAGAGACCTGTCATCTACAGAAATACTCAGATGACTCTGCAGTTGTCGGGTGTATCAGAGATGGACAGGAAGCTGAGTACAGAGAGCTGGTGGAACGCTTTGTGGCATGGTGTGGAAACAATCATCTGACCTTGAATGTGAACAAAACAAAGGAGATGATTTTAGACTTCAGAAGAAACAGGGTGGAGTCAAACACTGTTTCCATCATGGGAGAAGAAGTGGAGGTGGTTGAGGAATACAAACACCTTGGAGTTCACCTGGACAACAGACTGGACTGGAGAAAGAACAGCAAAGCCATTTACAAGAAGGGACACAGCAGACTGCACTTCTTGAGGACGCTTAGGTCCTTCAATGTATGTAGCAAGATGCTGCAGATCTTCTACAAGTCTGTTGTTGAGAGTGTAATCTCTTCAGCCATCGTCTGTTGGGGTAGTAGCATCAGAAGCAGGGACCTGAAAAGGCTCAACAGCCTAATAAAAAAGGCTGGTTCTGTTCTGGGGACGACTGTGGAACCACTGGAGGAGATGATGCAAAGAAGGATTCTCCAGAGAAGCAAGAAAATTATGGACAACCCTGAGCTTTCTCTTCACAAGACTGTCCGACAACGGAAGAGTGTCTTCAGTCAGAGGCTTCTTCAGTTTCGCTGCAACACCGACCGCTACTGGAGATCCTTCCTGCAGCAGCCATTGTAATATACAATAACTCTTTGATGACTTGATTATTATTATTATTCTGAGCTACTACAGCAATCAATTTCCCTCTGGGATTAATAAAGTATTTTTGAATTGAATTGAATTAACATTATGATTAAAGTTTTGGGACAACTAAATCATTTTTGTAAAGCGTAACTGACGCTAAACCAACAGAAACAGATAAAACCGCGCCTTTTCATGCAAAAATTAAAGAAATTAATTATTTTTTTCTACAACATATATCTAATGCTTTTAAGGCCTTCCTTTGCCAGAAATCCTCTTTCACAAACAAGAATTAAAAATAATATTTTAAATAAACATTCTTGTAAAAACAGCTCCTGATGATGAAAAGCAACAAAACTCACAAAGAGAAAAGCTGTTTGTGGATGGAGGAGACGGTCGCTAACAGCTAACAAGGTCTACGACGCTAACAGACACACACAGATCTGCTTACCCTCCACGGCTACGAGGAGTGTCACGTTGTGTTTTAGGTGGGGAGATTTGGAAAGTGTGACAACAGAACAGACGGATGTGTGACGGAAGATGAGAAAATGTGTTTGAAAGTGATGAAGGGGTGATGTTTAACAGCAGAGGGAGAAGAAGAGGGAGAGAAGAAGGGAAGAACATTATGAAGCAAACCAAACCAAAGCAAAGAGACCGAACACAACCCACAGCGTCCACGGTGGGAAAAGCCCCCAAACGAGAGGGAAATCAAACACATTCATGTGTTCATTTGTACCTTCACCCCCTCGTTGTAGCTGTCTACTGAACAGAGACTGGGCAGGTTGCCAGGAGCTCCAGGGCGGGGAGGCTTCTTAGGGGGGGCTACATGTTCTGCAGAAACATGAAGGTGTTTCTGTGTTAAAAGCACTTTTAGCAGCGATTTTGTGTTTCTGCGGGCTTTTACGGCTCGTTCCTCTCACCTGGTTTCCCCACAGGCTGGTAGATGTGTTGACTTCCACCCTGTCCAAAAATAAAAAATAATAATAAAAAAAGTCAACATAAAACTCCCAACATGGATGCAAACTCTGGCTAAAGCCCGAACCACGCTGTGCGTTTTTCGGCCGTCCTAGACGCATCTCTCATTGTGAACAGAATAGTGACAAGGACGGTGGATTTGTGAGTGCGTGGCCATCAGGTGTGTCCAGCTCTGCTTATTGAGCACCTTTAAGACCAAAGCCAGCCTTATACACACAGTGGAAGCTACATGCAGGAACATGTGGACCTCTTTGGTTTGGAGTCCTGCTGGTGCTGTTTGGCTCACTGAAACCTTGGACCGTACAGTGTGCCACCTTTCTGGAGTCCTCAATGTTCGCACTTCCACCCTCGCACCCTTCAATTGTGCGATCCCGGCCAGGGATGTGACTGCACCGGGTTTCCCGATTATCAAGTGCGAAAGATGACTCTGCCCCTTTTACACCCTTGATGCACACTCTGCCCAAGTCTGCATCAATGTGGACTTCAGCCAAGGGTATTACCCACAATCCACTGATGCGTGAGAGGAAGGCGGAGCAATGGTCCAAGTGCCTTTTCTGAAAATATCATTTTAGGACGATTAATGGTGTTTATTCATGCTCTGAATGTTTTAGACTAAGATTTAATGTGGACAGCAATGAACATAAATTTGGTCAAATAATTGTTTGAAATTTGTTAATAAATTTTTTTTAAGTAGCACAAACTGCGACCCGGCATGCTTTGTGGTCGATGGCACAGTGCTCCCTGTCCTCAGTACTACGCACTCAAACCCTTACGCCGGGGACACACCGGCCGCGGAAGCGCCGCGAAGCGCCGAGAAGCGAATCGCTCACGAAATTCGGCCGCTGCTCGCCGCTCCTCAGTTCAGATCAGACGCGCCCCAGTCGAGGCGCGCCTCGGCTCAGCTGTAGTTTTTCTTTTAAACACTTGGTGTCCTCCATTTCCTCTCTGCCTTTTCTCAGCTCTTTTCCTCTACGTTTGAGTGTTTGTGCGCGCGCGCGCGCATACGTGTGTGTGAAATAATATTATAAATAAATATTTTCCTTGAACGTGGACACACTGTGTGTGTGTGTGTGTGTGTGTGAACCTATGTTTCTGCCAGTTGAATCTCTTGGAACCCGCTCCAATTCTGCAGCTGTATCCTAGCAGTTTTTTCTGAAATGGGTACGTAAATAACCATGTTTTTCGGGGGTCGTACAGCTCCTTGTGTTTCTCAACTTCCATAATTAATTTAAAGTCATCCATCTTAACTGCTTGCCTCAGACTTTCTGCCTCTCTGTCCTGTTTGCTCCGTGAAAAGACACCCAAAACCACACACCCCTTCACGCGGTCACACACGCACACAAGTTCGATGTGTGTGTGTTCGTGTGGTTTTTCTGCAGTGTCTGATTACGAACACATTTGACTATTGCGTAATTTTATTTTGAAATGCTTTATTTTGTTAACTTTACCGGTCTGCCTCTTATGTCTAGGTTTGACTTCCTGCCAGAATTGACGCGATTCACCCGCGGCTCGCGAAAAAAATAGAGCCGACGCCGAAATGATCGCTGCACGGCGCGGGCTGGGGCGCCGGCGCGAGGCGATTCGCGGCGCTTCGGCGGCCCATGTGGTCTATAGAATAGCTTAACAAGGGCGCTGAATGAAGGCGGCCCCATTTTCGCGGCGCTTCCGCGGCCGGTGTGTCCCCGGCGTTATTACTGCGCACTTCCACCAAGTGCACTAAGACCGTAGAGCGAGTATTGGCATCGGGCCAGTGTGCGACAGCCAACAAACGCGATGCACTCTGGGCTTAAAAGAGTTAGAAAACACCCAAAACACACTCAGTTACTCCTACTAATAAAGAAATCTGTACATATTTTAGTTTCTTCATCTTATTACATGACATTAATTTTACCACACTTTAAATTATAACTTTTATTGCCTTAAATAAAACAAAATGACCCTTTTTTTGTGCTTTTTTCTTGACAACAAAGAGTTAAAGTGTAGAGGGAAGATCGGGCTTTTATTGTAAATACGCAGTTCTGGGTTTAACGTTCCCATGAGTTCTGTGGTTTGGCTGCTGGTATGTAGGCAGTGCCCTTCACGGCACACAAATACTTTCCTGCCTTTTACATCGTCTGCATTTTCTCCGTTTGTCTGTCAGCTGTGGTGAAACGATTCTTACTGTTTGGACCTGAGATTTCCTTCTAAACGCCAACCCTCCTAAATGTTAAGAGAGAAACGTCCGGTGAACGACTGACCGGTGCCTGGAGCGCGCCGTCCTCTCTGTCCATGCTGCCTCTGCTGTTTCTGGATTCGGCTTTCTGCAGAAAAAACACACACGGAAAAAAAAACTGAGTGTGCACAACGATCATTCTGCTTCTCATTTAGACACAAATCTAGAAAGTTAAACGTGAAACTGAACCACAAGAAAACCTGTTTTCAAATCAAACTCTCCCTAAACGAAGTGTTCAAATTTGAGCTTTTTCCTCCTCCTGCTCTCCTTAAACCCCCAGCTCCCCTCCTCTCTCTCTGTCCCAGTACCGTTTTGGTGAAGCACGCCTTGAAGAGATGCATCCTGGGAGAACAGAAGCCGACAGACGTGATATTGAGGCCATCGAAAGAAGAGCAGAGACGAAGAAAACATCAAATGAAATGAAAACGAAGTCAGAAAGAGGAGTAACGTTTTTCCAGAGAAGGAAAAGCGGAACTGAACCACAATTCGACTCATATCTCTCCTCCCACTCTTTCCATCCCAGAGAATCTCCTTCTGACGGCCGACTCCTCGCCCAGTCCTCCCTCTCCACTGCTTCTGCCAATCCCACTTCCTTTCGCCCTCCCTCTGTCCTTGCCATTACACTTTCCCGTCTCGCTTTGGCCTGCTCTGAGTCCTACTGCAGCATTGTCGCTTTAGAAGTGGGGGGGGGGACACAGGGAGTGTGTGTGTGTGTGTGTGTGTGTGTGTGTGGGGGGGGGTGGATCTTTACAATATGCTCTAATGGGAAACAGGCTTCAACACAAATGGTTGTTTTCCACTTGGTGCTAGAGCTCAACCAGTGTCAATTTAATATAGTGTAATATTGTTTTTGGATGGTAAAAAGTGCAGGGGTCAAAACTTGACTTTGGAAAAAGTGGGGGGGACATGTCCCCCCTGTCCCCCCCAAAAAATTACGTCCATGTACTACAGCCACTGATGAAGAGAAGGAACATAATCATTAATTATTTGTGTTCCTTCCTTTTAAAATCAACCCAAACATAAAAGAGTCATCAAAGACAGAGAGGAAGAGCCGGACCGGAGGGAGAAGAAAACAAGACTCCAGAGCAGCTTTTCTGGAAGTCTGATGACATCAATCACGCTCGCACAACTGAGCCGGTTCAAAGAGCTAACAGAGACTCTGCTGCTCTTCTGGCAACAACCTTCAACCCTCCTGCTGGTTCTGTTGTACAAAAGCACAACGTCTGTCTTTCTTTGGTATTATGAGTTGTAACTCTACTTTTGGCCATTTGATGATTTAGCCATAGAAGAGTGTTTGGAGTAAAGGTCAGGTATTCTGGTGATCCTGCTGCTCATTACCATGAGGCTCTCCTCCTGCTCCAGCCACCGCCGATCTTCCTCCATCTGCTGCTGCTGCTTCATCAGTCTCTCCTCCATCAGAGCCTGGCCCACACATCCGCCCTCCTGCAGATACATCGACTCTTCAGCTACAGTTCATCTTCGCAAACGTGGGAACGTTTTTCTGTGATTCTGTTTAGATGTTAGAATTTAGAAAGACGGACAAGTCTGGGTGTGTGTGTGTGTGTGTGTTCTTGCATATGTGTATACATGCCTCCAACATGCCTCCATCTAAAAGGCTAGGTTATCCAGTTATCTCTGTAGTTATGCTGCTATAGGCTTAGACTGCTGGAGGATACACTGACCACTTTCCACTCTACTACTTTCTTCTACAATCTGCTCTTTAACTGTATTATTTCCTGAAATTTCAGCTGTTAACTTTATTTTTCTCGGAGTGTTTTTCTCCTCAGAAGAAGCTACAATGATGTTCTGCTGAGCTGTGGTGGCCTCATGGAGGGGGCCATCGTCTAGCACACTGCTGCTAACCACTTAAACATTCTCCCTCTCCTGATAATAACTTTTTGCTTTCTTTGACAATGAATGTGCTACTACTAGTTTACCCGTTTGATTATAGATTCACTAGGATAAATACAATAACGTTTATCTCTCAACAAATAGAATATTTACTAAGAAATCACAATGTAACCATAGAAACACTACTTGGTATATATGTCGTATGTGTGTGTGTGTGTGTGTGTCTGCTCTGTCTTCTCCATCCCCAGTGAGTCGTGGAGGATGGCTGCTTATACTGAGCCAGGATCGTCTGGAGGTTTCCTCCTGTTAAAAGGGAGTTTTCCTCTCCACTGTCGCTACATGCTTGCTTAGTATGAGGATTGCTGTAAAGTGACTTGATGCAATTTGCTGGGTTCCTCATATAGGAAACTATTTACTGATTGGCTTAATGAACCGACACTTATTGGAATGTTTACCACGTGAAGTACCCTGAGACGACTCGTCGTGATTTGGCGCTATATATATAAACTTGAATTATGGTTTTGCACGTATGTGTGTTTTTGTGTGTATTTTTGCATTTGTGTGCGTGTGTGTGTGTGTGTGTGTATATATTTTTGCATGTGTGTGTTTGTATATTTTTGCAAGTGTGTGTGAATGTATTTTTGCACGTGTGTGTTTGTATATTTTTGCAAGTGTGTGTGTATTTTTGCACGTGTGTTTGTATGTGTGTGTTTTTATTTTGGCGTGTGTGTAGTTTTTTAACGTGTTTGTGAATTTATGCATGTGCGTGTGTATTTTTACATGTGTACCTCCATGTTTGGGCTCCACAGGGCACTCTGTTCAGTTCTGAGATGATTCCAGGAATCAGTTCCTCCATGAGCCAAACGCTGAAGATTGAGAGACAAAAAAACAAAGAGATGACAAAGTAAAGCTTATTTTCTTTTAAAACAAAAAAGCAGTATTAGTTAAAGAGTTGTCATTCTTTACATCACACTGTCACAGACTTTTACATTCTAAATCAAAAGAAGTCCACCAAAAGGCTGTGTTTCCTTTCTGAATGCCCCTCTGACCCGATCCTTTAAAAAGCATCTGCCGTTTTCAGAAACAGGTTCCAAAAGTTAACAGATAACGTCTTAAAACATAAATAGTTACCTTAATCTGCTAAAGATTGTAATTAATGGGAAAGTCTAAACATGACCAAACGTTCCTCAATTATGAATTTAATAACAGATTAAATACCAAACTAATGAAAATAATACAAATTCTAATTCATAACTGTAAAAATAGGCCGACTCATATTTGAGTCAATATTTAGAATTCCCTTTTTTCTTTATAAGTGATAATAAATCATCAAACTCCATCAACACTGATTAGAACACAGAATAAATTTAGACATAAATGAAAACACATGCAGGTTTTAAAGAAGCAGCTCGGTGCAGTTAGCGCTGACGTGTGGTTTTGATCAGCGAGCGTCTGCGTGGCCATGAACGAGCAGCTTTCAGGACAACAGGAAATGCCTCGTGTCTACTCGGCTCACGGGAAGAAAGACGAGTGTGAACGTTCAGTCTCCCTGGTGTTTTTTTGGTTCCTTCCTTCTCCACGTGACTCTTTAGGACGTTGACAGTCATGCATGAATCCAGAAAGAGCCACACTCGTTTTTATTCGTTCTGACAACCAGCAGTGCTGGAGTTTTTCAAAGGGTTTAGTATTTGTATGCGTGTGTGTGTGTGTGTGTTTGGCTTACCTGGACGTGGTTGTGGTGGGGGCTGGAGAAGAAGTCTTCACTGGATCGAGGACTGGGGTAACCAGGTCGACTCGGCTGCAGACGCAGACGGGTTAGCGTCAAATTTTCACAAAAGCTGCTAAAAGGTGGGAGATAGAAGCTGCTCTTACTTTAGGTGGAGCTTCATCAGAGCCTCCGGTGTCCCAGGAAACCGTGACCTGTCTCCTGATCTCCATGCGAAGCCTCTCCTCCTGTTGGACCTTCTCGTCCTCCAGTATGGTGCTGCAGATCAGAACGCTGACATGTTTAGAAGCAGAATCTATAAAAACCAAAACAAGCAGCAGAGTTTAGCCGTTACCTGAGCTGGGTTTTGAGCTCTGTGAATCGCGGCCTTTTACTCGGGTCGTACGACCAGCATTTGGTCATCAAGCTGTAGAGAGTAGGAGGACACTGGGGGGGCATGGCCAGTCGCTCGCCGTTCTCTATCCGACCAATCACGTCGTTGTTCTTCACGCCTTGGAAGGGCTTGATGCCGTACATCAGAATCTCCCACATGCACACCCCTACAGAGGGTGGTTATCAGACATTTATTATGCTAGCAGGTACGGCGCACCGTGAGGGTCACATTAGTCTCAGAACAAAGTCAAAATTCCGGTCATGTCTTTATTCTTTAATTATCCACCTCCTTACCCGTTTAGTTCCTGGATTGGTTAAATAAAAATATCTCTCGTGAAAACGACTCACCGAACATCCACACGTCGCTGGCGGAGGTGAACCTTCTGAAGTTGATGGATTCAGGAGCCATCCATTTTATAGGAAGTTTACCTTTAGAGGCTTAAAAACAAACACAGATACAATAAAGTTCAAATAAAAAAGAAAAAACATCGAAATTATTACTAATTTCTAGTGAATCTCAGCACTGATTTAACTGTTGTGACACGACGACACCAGCAGATGGCAGCAAAGTTCTACTCAGTTTATATAGAGGATAACCAGTATGCTGGGCTGGTTCATGTGTTTAAATATTTCTTGTGTGGCCTTACCTTTGTAATACGAGCTGTCCTCCATGTACCGAGACAGTCCAAAGTCTCCGAGCATCACACAGTCAACGGACGACACCAACACGTTACGCGCCGCGATGTCCCTGTGGCAAGCAAACAGCTGAAATCAGGACGTTTAACGTCCATCGCCTCTTTGTCTGCTTGAAACTGAAAGTTTTCTGGGATATATTTGAATCCAATTCCAAAAACAATCTGATAAAATTTTTTATTATGAACGATTAGTTATAATATTTGTAAAAACATTAGACCAACTAAGTAAGTTTGTTAGAATGGAATCAAAATTCTTGGCTTGCTTGGGTGGAAAAAGCAAAATATGACTTAATAATAATAATATTTAATAATCTAAATTAGGGAGGTACGATATAGAAGCAGCATCAGAATCGGCTGATGTTAATCTTGGGTTTTCTTTGCGATCTGATTAATAAAACCAGCAATATTAACGACCCATATTTGTTTCCATGCAGTTTCTGTGTTTCAGGAGGGGGAGGGGTTGGTCATGTGACAATGATGGTGTTAAACTGAAGCAGAGCAGCAATGTAGCTGATGTGGTCATTTTTACACGGTATTGAAATGTTGTTGAACATAACAGCTGTATGAATATTGGATTTTGATATTGGCCCAAATTCCCACATCGGTGCATCCCTGATCTAAATCCAGTCCGTGTGAGAGTTCTTACCTGTGCACGAAGCGCTTGCTCTCCAGGTAGGCGAGCGCGGTGCTGAGCTGATAGGCGTACAGAATGAGTGTGGCAAGGTCGAGACTGTACTTCTTCACCTGCAGGAACGACCGCAACTAACAATGGAAAGATGAGACATAAACGTGAAGCAACACAAAACACTTTAGGAAGTAGGCGGATGAGATGGTGATGTGATGATACCTCTCCTAGAGTACAGAGCTCCATGATGATCCACACCGGGTTGTCTGTGATCACGCCAATCAGCTTTACGATGTGAGGGTGGTCGAACTGACGCATCGTTACTGTAAAACGATAACGTGTATCAAGACATTTAGCATTCATGACATATATGGCGCTCGCACACACACACACACACCCACCCACACACACACGGTCTTACAGGCTTCTTGCAGGAACTTTTCTCTGACGCTGTCTGTGGTGCAGTTTTTACAGGTTTTAATGGCGACAGATAGAGAGGGCTTGTCCTGTGTGACAGAAAATAAATATGAGGTTATCAAATCTCATTTCTGTTGACGCTGAGGTTATTTCTGTCCCTCGTTGCATCTTTGACGTTTCCCTTTCTTTCTGCTTGTGGACCTTTTTGCAGTAACTGACACTTTTTAAAACCAATAAACTGTAAGGACAAATGAGAAAGCTCGAGCAGAGCCCAGGACTAAACTGGATGTCCAGCAGACAAACAGAACCAAGGTATTTCCTTTACTGTTACAGAAAATGTGAGCGCTGCGTTCTGATGAGGACACTTCTGGCCCATTTAACATAGCTTCTTCTTTTCCATTAATCTAAAGGATGTTCCCGATTAAAGTAAGATAATCTTATCAGATAATCCTGCCATGTGTGGTGTCTTAAGAGTGCTCTTGTCTGCTCAAAAGGACAAGGAGACCTCTTTAATTATAAATCAGTGACTTTCAACATGTTGGACTGTCTTTATCCCAATTTCAAAGGCAACTAAGTATGTAGCATTTTGAGTTTGACATGTAGCCAATCAGAAAGCATCATGACAGGCTCCTCCTCCACCATGTTTGTTTATTACGAAGTCACGACCGGGGAGTGTTTGTGTGTGGTGTGTAGTTTTTGTTGTGTTGCTGGACATCACACACGTGGGGCCTCTCGTGTTTTGAAAATGGTCAGACAACTTTGAAATCCTGCCATGTGAAAAAACCTAAATGAACAGATCTACTTCTCCAAATTATGGCCGCAGGAACATTTTCCAGGCTTTCTAAACAGCTTTCAGACGACTGGTGTTTAGCACCATCTCGCTTCGTCCGGCATCGCGGGTCTCGGGTTCCGGCAAAGACGTCTCCTAGCTTGTTTGCCGATTCTCTACAGCAGCTTTCAGAGCTAGACCATATTAGCACATCAGATATCAGTGAAAAAGCAACTATCGGACATCCCTGGTAAAAATACAACTTCAAGTTAAGCATAAAATAAAATAATGGTCAGTAAAACATCTTTTTGAAGCCTTTGCATGTTTCTAAATCATCATTTGCATGTTTATTTCTACATACTGGGCTGTTGTAGACTCCTTGGTGAACATCTCCAAACTGGCCCTCCCCGATGCAGCGACCCAGCTCTATCCGGTCCCTCTGGATCTCATAGTCCCGCGCTGAGAGGGAGGACGACAAGAAAAAAAGAAGTAAAATCGATGAGATAAGCACACCAACCTGCTGCTTCGGACTCTCACACTTAACAGGGTTCGACTGCACCACATGATTGAGGATCAGAAGCCAAAACGCATCAAGTTTTCTGTTAAAAGAAGTTAAAAAATATTCCAAACATTCAGGCAGTGAGACGGTTGTCATGTATTTAGCTTAAACCAATGCTGCGAATAAGCACTGCATCCTTTTTGACCAATGTTTGCCAATTTATAATCAAATCTCTTTTAGCTAAACTAACATCCTGCAAAATTCAATTCAAACACACTTGACTTGAAGTGAAACAGCTGTAGAGGCTAGATGCTCATAAAAAGAGTAAATTCACAAACAGCTTCACTGCCTGATTGAACAGTGACCAAAACACATTCCTCTACAAAAGGATTTACAATTGTTTACCCGGACTGCAATGCAGTTTCAGGAAATTAACGATTGCTTCAGACATAAAAAGGACCCACAGAGAAGTGACACAACCATGATCATGAATCAGAAAAGGGGTTTAAGTAGAGGATGGTGCAACAAGACCAGAGCAAATAAACAAAACAAATGCTGTGACGAAATTTAGTTCAGCTCTGAAAAGAACCGGCGTTACTGATTTGTGATATTTACGGAGCATGTTGTTTTGTTTATGACTTGATGTTTCCTGTCAGGACTTCAGTTCCCCTGGATGATAAACAAAAACAATCACATGTGGACAAACTCATCATATGGATGAAAGGACTCGAGTTTTTCTTTGCCAGGCTCGAATAGAGGATGAAGGACTTTCCGCTCTAGCAGAGTGGCCGAGATCACAGCTAATCCTAGCCAGTGCTGATATTGTTAGCTTCTGGCTACATATTTGAACGTCTTAGCTTAGTCTGACGCTGCCGCCGGTCCGGTCCTTCTCACAGCAGAGACATCCGAGTGTAGACGTCCGAGCTAGATTCAGCCAATCCCTGTAAATGAGCTTGTGTGGTGGGCTTCTTTAGGTTTTGCCGCCAACTTTGGTTTAAACTTCTGTTTAGTGCAGTCATAGGTTGTGAGGCGACGGGACATAAGATGAAGAAAAGGCGGGAATAAACCTGATGGCTAAACCATCTAGTTTCACAGAGCCGCTCACTTCCGGTCTTACCGGGCCTCTACTCTGGACGCCCAAGCGCTGCCTCACATCCAGGAAGCATACTGCGCACCAATTAACCGTCGTTATAGCAGATGGATGTGTTTTCACCAGCCTCGCCTTTTGGAAACGTCCCAGAAGCGTAGGGACGAGTCGCTTATATTTCGGATCTTTTTTTTTTTACACGCTATGCTTTCAGAGCGCGTCAACCTCAGCAGTTCAGATCGGGCTAGACAGGAAGTCAAACACAAAAGCAGCCTACAAAATCTGAAAACTGTCAAAATAAAAGACACATACATATTTCCTGTTGCTTAACTAGTTAAAAGTGTGGGTAATGCTTAACAATAAAAGTCCCTTTATTAACGTTACTTCATGCATTATTAAGCATTAATAAACTATTAACTAAAGTATTAACAATTGCTTAATCATATTATGTAATACATTACTAAGAAGACACACCCCCTGGCCCTTTGTCCTAACCTCAAGGAAACGTATTAGTTAAAAATATCGGAAAAGTGAATAAAGGGACCCTTTGTTTATTAATGCTTAATAATGCACAAAGTAACGTTAATAATTGGACCCTTATTGTAAAGTGTTACCAAAATACATCATTACATTTGAAACCTCCGTAGCCGAGGTAAACAGAACAGAAAATAACTTTTTGAATACGTGCTGCTGTCCTCTCCTTGCTTGTTACCAGGTGAACTGCCAGAATTACATGTAAACTTGCAATTCTGTGGTCATTCCGTGACCTTGCATCACAAGTTGCGTGGAGCGCTTTCACTGTCGTTTCACGTCTAAAATGTTCGCAGAGAGAAGGGAGTTTGAGGGTAAAACGTGACTAATAGATTACACGCCGCTTATGCGTCCAGCGGTAAGCCTGAATTTGGACAAAGAGGAACATAATAAAGGCCGACCAATATTGTTTTTTTCTGTGTAAGAGACATGGTCAGCCGATACGTACAGCCGATTTTCTTAGACAATATCTAAACATTTTCCACCTTATTTTCATGCAAAAATTTGACTAATAACATTAGTTGTTGCGCAAAATTTCTGAAGCTGAATCAGTTTTTGATCTCTAAATTTAACTTTGTGGACTGCTCAGTGTTAAAGTCAGACACCCAAATAAAGTTAATTTAGAGTATTGATTTAGCAGATGTTATTAGTGAACGTAAGAATATATTTAAATTACATTTTGCAACAGCGCCGGGCTGCCCGAGAATACTCCTGACTTTAAATATGCTTTACTAAGGACAAATATCGGCCGATACTGATGCACAAAATGATCAATTTCAGCCAGATACATCAGCCGATAAAGATATATGAAAAACGGTGAATATCGACTCAATATATCGGCCAACTGATATATCGGTCTACCCTTACAACATAAAGCTCAGAATGATGCCTAAAAATGAAAAGAGCCCGTTTTAAGCCCTGCCCCCTCCATGCAAATGAAGAAAAAATCTTCATAATCTTCTTCAGGTTTTGATTCATTTATTTCGGCTGACTCCCGTGTCAGATTTATTAATAACTGAATATTTTACAAGGCTGTATGGAACAAGCATGTAGCTGGTTGTGGCTCGAGAGCCACCAGTTGAAGACCACAGTAAAGCTCCATTTTATTCATGGGGCAAAAATGTGACGTTTTCCCTTCACAGTAAAATAGTGTCATAAAGGCCTGGAAAAGAAAAAACAACGACCAACAAACTCAGAACATTTCAGTCGAACTTAATGAGAGACGAGGAGTTTTACCTTCAACCACTCCATAGGCCACTGTGTTGGCGATGGGAAAGAGAGGATAGAAAGACAGATGAAGAGAAGGGGAGAGCCACACAGCCACTTTAATGTTAAAAGCTCAGAAACCACACACATACACTCTAAAAAATAAACCAAAACACTGCCACATACTAATTATTAGAAGTAGGACATCGTCAGACCTTTGTAGAGGTTATTTTACACAAATAGTGACACAAAGTCAAAGTGCTAAAATATCTGAAGACATTTTAATTAGAGGAAATCACAGAAAGGAAACCGAGACGCATCAAAAAAATAAATAAAAGGCAAAGCAGGATGAAGAAAGCAAGACGGGAAGAACGAAGTCCATTTTAAAAGTTAGCCGCATAACTAAATACATAAGTTAAAGTTAAAGTCCCATTAGTTGTCACACACACTGATGTGTGTGCGAAATTCGTTCTCCGCATTTGACCCATCCCCTGGGGGAGCGGTGAGCTGCAGACACAGCCGCGCTCGGGAACCATTTGGTGGTTTAACCCCCCAATCCAACCCCTTAATGCTGAGTGTCAAGCAGGGAGGCATTGGGTCCCATTTTTTCAAAGTCTTTGGTATGACCCGACCAGGAATCGAACCCTGATCTCCCAGTCTCAGGGCGGACACTCTACCACTAGGCCACTGAGCTGGTTAAAATAAGCTCCACAATAAAAGCACAAAGCTGGAGCAGAAGTTACCAACAGAACTATAGCACCAGCAAATGTGGCTGAATCTGACAGACGTCCCCCGTGTCCCAGAACCGCACCTGGATCCGGTTATTTGTAGCTTTCGATCAGTGTCTTTACCACGAAATAGGAAATAAGTGGCCTAAATCTGATAGCTGCTGCTGAACTGTGTGTGTGTGTGTGTGTGTGTGTGTGTGTGTGTGTGTGTGTGTGTGTGTGTGTGTGTGTGTGTGTGTGTGTGTGTGTGTGTGCGTGCGTGCGTGCACCTCATGGAAATGACTCACACCACACTCTGATTATTAGGTAGCAGAAGGAAGCGAGCGTTGGCTCGAGGATGGCAGCGTTGGTCGGAGACGTAACAGTCAGGCTTATTTTTAGCAAATCCCACGCCGAAGCGGCAGCGGACGGGTTTTATGAACACTTTCTGTCGTGCAAAGTAGATTTAAACGAGTGACTTACTTGAGGGCATGGTGTAAGTGTCCTCTTCATCAACTATTTCTGCATAGTCATCCGTCTCTGCAACAACAGACACAAACAACCTGAAAATACTGGAACGAAACCAAAAATAAAGACCAAACACGAGATTTTAATATGCTGTCAGAATCTAAAATTTACAAAACAGTTTTAACTGCTTAAAGTAACACCCACGAAGCTCATCCCGCCGTCCACGCTGCCCTTTCTCACACACACACACTTGGCAGATAGTGTCAGCTGAGCATGTGTTGGGAATATCTGTCTGTACAAGAGCAGCTGGACTGCAGGGAGTTTGTGTGGTGGAGGAGGAGGAAGAGGAGGAGTGGAAGACGAGAAGAGATGGACACAGAGATGAGAGGGTGATCGAAAACCTACAAAAGTTGCATCGGGAAACAAAACAAAGCTGAAAACGAAGTGTACGGAAACCGTAATAGGATTAAATCTGTGAGGGGGAGAGAGGATGGACGAAGTTCATCCTCACCAGATGGTGGTGTTCAAAATAAAGTCAGTGCAAACTCAGCTGTTGGAAACAAGAGCCAAACATCTGCCGTCCTGAACATTCCTCTCACGGCTCTGCTCGGGATTGATCTGATTCTGTGGGAACGGGCCCGTGACTTTTAGAAGAAACAACCCTGCAGCTGTAAAGCTTGGACATATTACTGGTATTCAGGTGCAACAGGCGTCTGCAAAACGGATAAAAACTACATTCTGTTTTAACCCCTTCACTTCCTGACGGAAATAAAAAATGCACCACCTGTACAGTAGCCGACAGCATGCTAATGCTAACCGCTACCATGACCTTTGCACTCGGTTGGAACACTCTAGTCCCGCCCTTCGCCTGGGCTGTAGAGCATGAAAATTTCTAACGTTTAAACTTATTTTTATTCAGATTTTAATATTCTTCAGCCCAGGTAAATCGTCAGCCTCTAAGCTAGAATCGCTGCATCTTTGGTTTACTGAACACAAATGAAGACTCTAGAAACCAGCTAGTAGCACCAAAACAAAGCTTTTAGTTTATTTAGTCATCGTCCGAACAGTGAAAAATGTAAATAATTAAAAAGCACAGAGTTGAGTTTGTGAGTAGAAAACACTGGGATGCACCTTGTTTGTCTTTGTGTCTTGTTAAAGGTGTGGGAAACTCACTTCACTCATTCACTACCAATGATGATTAAAGTAATCATTTGCATCTTTTTACTGTGTGGGCGTCGGAACGAGCCCCCGCACCGTGAGAACAAACATCTCAGCTCTGAAGCCGATCTTCATTCGCGTACGTCACGTGATCAGGAAGCAGAAAATCCATGTGTTAGGAGATCGTTTTGGGCCGCTGCTGTAAAAAAAGTGAGGCACGAACTGGAAAAGCTGCCGATCACAATTCAACAACGGATTATGAAAGAACGGATAACGCTCGAAACGCGCGGATTCTTCCTGATGTAAGAGGTGAGTCTCCGCTTTGTTTTGGTTGTTTTGGCGTCTACATCATCCTAGCGCGCAACGTTCTGTGACTCTTAAAAAACAGTAAAGACGGTGAGAAACGCTGGCAGCGACGGGCTTTACTGATCAGGAAACGGCTGGCAGTGAATGAGTTAATCAATACATTTGCAGTGTCTCTAGAAGGAATGAAGGCCTTGTAAGTCATACTCTGGGGAAAAAAAGCCCTGGTGAACCGTTTTCAGGAACTAGAAATATGCTACATCCTGATATTTGTACATCTTGCCTGTGATTGGCTAACAGCAACACGACTCTTCCACTGAATCTGTTTGCTGTGTAACACAAGTTTGAAGGAGTTCTGTTGTGTAGTGGAACTGCTAATGCTAACAGGTAAGCCTGATTTATGCTTCTCCGTCTGCGTCAGTGCGGAGACACGCAATGCCATTATCCGTCCTTGCGTAGGGCTCCGGCAGGCACGCAAGTACGTACGGAGTCGAGCCCACTTTTTTAAACATCCGTCGAACGAGACGGATTACGCAAGCTTGTGATTGGTCAGGACGCCGCTGTTGTTTACAGCGCCGCCATTGCAAAGAGAGCCGAGGATAACTAGCGGCAGACACGGAGAAGCTTGAAGAATGCCTCGCGAAAAAACTCTAAAAATATAAACGTTTAATTCCCCCGTGACTGGAGGAGTGAAAAGATGCGCAGCAAACGTTTTATTTGTGGACGGAAATGACAGGAAACGTGGGCTTAGAGGTGGGGAGCGCATGAAGCGGTGGGAGAATGAGAGACAAATATGTCCGTGTTAAAAGTCTATTATATACACAAAAACACAATATAAACACACGATCTTGGACCGATACATGACAGGATACCACAGAACAGCGCTACGCCCTCTGTTGTCCTGCCGGGCAATTGCTTTGCAACACTCTCCAGGAGACGGAGAAGTAAAAGAGCAAAACGCTTCCGTCAGTCCGTGCGTGTCTGTCCCTTGCGGAGCTGACGGAGAAGCATAAACCAGGCTTAAGTTTCTACTAGCTGAGACGTTCTCTGCTGTTTCCTGGACGCTAAACCGACAACAGCCTTCCCCCTCGTGAGTCAAGATGGGTGAGTCCATGAATGTTAAGTGACAGTGACGTAGATCTGTCAGGCTTTTGAAATCCTAGAGCTTCACTGTATTTTCTATCAGAAGCTAATGCAGTAGATGGGTGTAGGAGACTATTTTCATGTGCAGCCTGCATGAAAAACCCAAAGAGACCGATTATCATCAGAAATAACATTTAAAAAATGTTTTTTCAGTGTTCCACCTCTTTAAATTTCCAGTGGTTTGGTTCACTTGTTGATTTGAGACGCTGAACATGATGTGGTTATCAGATTTCTGGTATTGTTTTAAATATCTTTTTACATGATGTCAAATCTGTGAGTGTTACTTTTAAGATCGTTTCCACAGCTCATCGTTTCTTCAGGAGAATTAAAGGAGCTTTTCTCTGTTGTCTGTTTCAGTTTGTGTGTGATCTAACGAGCTCATTATGGCCGAGGAATGCGCTCGCTCTTTATTCCAGCAAACCTCTGAGCGTTTTAACCGTATGTGGCTTAAGTGGACCTGTTTCTGAAATGGGGAGAAAAAAAACATCTGCACAAGTTAGAAGAAAAACAAGAACTTCTGGATTTACAAATTCTGCTTTTTGTGTCATTCTTGTGGTTAAAAGCCGACGTATTTACACTCTGTGGTCATCCGCTTTCCAAACAATCAAGAGGAAAGATGAAAACAAATAAGCTACTGGCAAAGGCCTCCAGGACGGCCCCCAAAAAATCACATTATGCTAACTTATTTTGCTTTAATTAAACCACATTTATATAAGAGCACAAAAGCACAAAGAGTCATTGTTTAACAAGCAGGAATGCAAGCATCAAGTTCAACCCACACACCAAAATACACACACAACCCTTTCCCAGGAGGGCGCAGTGTGCTGGTGGGGCGGGACAAGAGAGAAACGTTTATAAACAATAGTAGAACTTTACCATCCCCACTAAGGTCCTCTGCAAGGTCCAGGAGAGCATGCAGGAAACGGGACAGCAGAGAGACAAGAAGAGTGGAGGAGAAAAAAAAAGGAGAGGTTAGAACACGACAAGCTTTGAGACGATGCAGGATCTGCAAAGACTCCGCCAGCTGCTAGGTACAATCCAAACTCTCAGCTGTTCAAAGCAGGACAGACGATTAGAGGTTAAAGCAGGAAATGATTGGAGAATAAATAAAGTTATTCATGAGGGCTAAAGTGAAGCAAACAGCTAGTCAAAGTTCAGGGGATGACTAAAGTGCGGTCATTAAACAGCTCCGATCTACATTTCACCGCAGATCATCTCTACTCCAAAATTAGTTCCACGTTTCACGGTGAACTTGGTTGAACTATTGACAAAGATCCTTCTGGACTTGATTCCCAGATGCACTTAAAGTGCCTCGTTTAGCTGCTGCTTGAAAATGATAGCGCTGCACATCTCTGTTCAGACTAGCTGCTAGCTCATCAATCCTAAGGAGATAAAATCTCTTTCAGCAAAACAGAAGTCATAGAGATTGGGAGGATAATAATTATTTAGAACTACTAGACGGGACAGCCCAGAAAGAGTCTTTAAAAGGACATTAAAATCTGAACAAGAGAGCTTCAGCGCAATTTTAGAAAATACATAAACAAGAGAGTTTTACTAAAAGAGACGTTCTCGGTTAATTTTTTCCATTTAAGTTACTTATGTTTGTGTTAGGGAGATAGCAAAATATCGATACTCTGAAATAATGTTATATTTTGTGGGTTGATACTGAATTAATATTTATAGCAGATTTTACTGCTTCAAGTCTGACGGTCTGAGTGTTTTTGTTTCCTTTATTAGATTCCTCTATTCATATATTTTATATATATATATATATATATATATATATATATATATATATATATATATATATATATACACACATATATATCAGGGATGTGTATTTTTGAAATTCTGGCGATACGATACATATCATGATACAGGGGAGACGATACGATATATCACGATATATTGCGATACATTCAGTCAGACGTTACAAGCAATTTTTTTACTGAATTTATTGAAAGAATGTTCAATAAACAGTCAAATATGATACGTAACATGTTTAACATGAGGTATCTGAACCATGATGGGAGGGATTTACATTTCAATGGTGGAAACAAAACCCATTGCACACTGCTGTCAACTAGCGGGTGGCGATTGAATTGCACAAAACGAAAAGAAAATACACAAATGTTTGCATGTAAATTCTTTCAAGAATTAGATGCACGACTTTTGAATATCGATGTAATAATCGCAGGAAATAATACCACGATATATTGCCATATCGATATTTCCGATACACGGCTTTTGAATATCAATATAATATTGCTGAAAAAAATCACGATATATTGCCTTATCGATATTTTCTTACATCCCTAATATATATATATATATATATGCATATATATATGTATATATATATATATATGTATATATATCTGTATATACATATATATATATACATATATATATATGTATATACATATATATATATATATATATATATACACATATATATATATATATATATATACATATATATATATATGTATATATATATATATATGTATATACAGGTGCTGGCCAGTAAATTAGAATATCATCAAAAGGTTGAAAATATTTCAGTAATTCCATTCAAAACGTGAAACTTGTACATTATATTCATGCAATGCACACAGACCAATGTATTTCCAATGTTCATTACATTTAAATTTGATATTCATAAGTGACAACTAATGAAAACTCCAAATTTGGTATCTCAAAAAATTAGAATATTCTGAAAAGGCTGAATATAGAAGACACCTGCTGCCACTCTAATCAGCTGATTTACTCAAAACACCTGCAAAGGCCTTTAAAAGGTCCCTCAGTCTTGTTTTGAAGGCACCACAATCATGGGGAAGACTTCTGACTTAACAGCTGTCCAAAAGACAATCATTGACACCTTGCACAAGGAGGGCAAGACACAAAAGGTGATTGCTAAAGAAGCTGGCTGTTCGCAGAGCTCTGTGTCCAAGCACATTAACAGACAGGCGAAGGGACGGAAAAAATGTGGTAGAAAAAAGTGTACAAGCTCTAGGGATAACCGCACCCTGCAGAGAATTGTGACGACAAACCCATTCAAAAATGTGGGGGAGATCCACAAAGAGTGGACTGCAGCTGGAGTCAGCGCTTCAAGAACCACCACGAGGAGACTCATGAAAGACATGGGATTCAGGTGTCGCATTCCGTGTGTCAAGCCACTCTTGAACAAGAAACAGCGCAAGAAGCGTCTCGCCTGGGCCAAGGACAAAAAGGACTGGACTGATGCTGAGTGGTCCAAAGTTATGTTTTCTGATGAAAGCAAGTTCTGCATTTCCTTTGGAAATCAAGGACCCAGAGTCTGGAGGAAGAGCGGAGAAGCACAGAATCCACGTTGCATGAGGTCCAGTGTAAAGTTTCCACCGTCAGTGATGGTGTGGGGTGCCATGTCATCTGCCGGTGTTGGCCCACTCTGTTTCCTGAGGTCCAGGGTCAATGCAGCCGTCTACCAGGAAGTTTTAGAGCACTTCATGCTTCCTGCTGCTGACCAACTTTATGGGGATGCAGACTTCACCTTTCAACAGGACTTGGCACCTGCACACAGTGCCAAAACCACCAGCACCTGGTTCAAGGACCATGGTATCCCTGTCCTTGATTGGCCAGCAAACTCGCCTGACCTTAACCCCATAGAAAATCTATGGGGTATTGTGAAGCGGAGGATGCAATACGCTAGACCCAACAATGCAGAGGAGCTGAAGACGACTATCAGAGCAACCTGGGCTCTCATAACACCTGAGCAGTGCCACAGACTGATCGAGTCCATGCCACGCCGCATTACTGCAGTTATTGAGGCAAAAGGAGCCCCGACTAAGTATTGAGTGCTATACATGCACATTCTTTTCATGTTCATTCTTTTCAGTTGGCCAACATTAGAGAAACAAACATTTTTTCATTGGCCTTTAGAATATTCTAATTTTCTGAGATACCAGATTTGATGTTTTCATTGGTTGTCACCTATAAATATCAAAATTAAACGTAATAAACATCGGAAATACATTGGTCTGTGTGCATTGCATGAATATAATGTACAAGTTTCACGTTTTGAATGGAATTACTGAAATATTTTCAACCTTTTGATGATATTCTAATTTACTGGCCAGCACCTGTATATATATGTATATACACACACACACACACACACATATATATGCGTGTGTGTGTGTGTGTGTACTGTGGTATACATCGTATGGTAGCACCAGATTCTTGCCGCTACACACCCCTACTTTGTGTATATAAGTGAAAATGTTTCAAAGACTGATTGACAGCAGAGAACACTTAACACAGTCAAGCTAATGTGGTCCAAGCAAATTCATCTGATAATAATAATAATAATCTTCCAAACCTTAGTGGAAACACTAAGCGATTATTGGAAGCAGGAGGTTAAAAAAGTTACCAATATAAAGAAAAACTATCATTTACTTATAGCAAGAACACTATGATTAAATTACAGAGCAAATAGGAAAAATAGGCCAATTCAGTAGAAAAAGAGACAATTGTGATGTAGCAGATTAAATTGTTTAACCCACAAAGTCATAATTCAGAACCCGATACAGCTGAAATGACTTTGGTTTCTGCACCACAAAAACAAGAAAGGAAACAGAAATCCTCTTTTCATACGTCTAGTTCCAGTCCAGGAACCACGACGGTCCAACAGGAATTTTCACTCCGCCACATCACTATCTAGCGGACATGCTGCTGTACTAGCTGTCCAATAGGAGCCATGGATACCACTGGGTGGTGAATCTGAACAGAAGATGAAGGGGAGGAGGAGACGCCGCGCCTTGGTTGGTTTAGGAACTGTGGATGTCATTAGATCTGCAGCCAATAAGGTGGGAACGGAAACCACAGGGTGAGCGGAAAAGACCAAGAGTGAACGGATGCGAGGAATAAGAGAAGAAAAGATGTAAACAAACTTTATTAGGAGAGATTGGGAAGAGAAAGAGGTGGAAGTATCCACAGCTTGAACCAAAGAGGCTAAGAGGTTCATTTAGCTTCTGAACCTGTCGATAAGAGATCATTTAGTCTTACCTGAGACTGAGATCGCTCTGACTCCCTTCCGAACGGCTTCTAGCTTCTTCTCAGTATTAGACAGTCTGAACAGAAGGAGAAAAAAAAGGACTAAAGTTCATAAACCCAAGAAAACTACAAGAAATCCACATTTCCAAATGAGATCCCACCAACACACGGTGCTCACATCTACACGCGCTCAAACAGAGAGACGAAACAAAGACTGCTCGTTGGCTTGACTGTCTTCCTTCCCGTGGTTTCTGTTTCTGTGTCCGCTGAGCTCTACGACAAACTTTACACCACAGACTAGAACAAGCAGAGAGCGGAGCCAGAGAGGAGGAGACTAGCCGTGTTTAAAAAACCCCAAAGTGGAAAATATTTGGCTCCTAAAGCCGTCTCCTTATTAGAGCAGAAACAGAGGAGGGGGGGGTTAAAGAGAGAAACCTGTTGATATGTAAACAACTAAGATGTGCTGAGGCATTGTGGGAAATAAAATCCAAATACTGTTTTATTATGAATACGACACATCCAGCTTTTTTCCACTTTGCTTAATTTGCAGGTCTTTTGTTTCGCTTAGAAGCAACAAGAAGCAGAAAATAAATCAAATGTTTTCAGACACCAATCTCTTCAAAGATTTAGGTTTTTGTTCGAGGGAATTTATCCTAAATTTATCCTGGAAAAGTGACAAAACCACAATAAATGACCTATTTTGGCTTCTAAGGAACACGTGAGCATAAAATAATCAGTCGATCATAAAACGCATGGTGGTTTTAGGTGTCATGAAAGGTTTTTCTACTTACTTTGGAATGGAAGGCAGAGCTCTCTCTCCCTCTAGAGGTGAAAGGAAAAAACACAAACCGACCATGAATCAGTCTCGTTGGAAGGAAAAGAAAAGTTAATAAAATATATAAATACAACTAAGTAAACTACTGTTTAATACGTACACAACATTAATTCGAATTTAGATTTTTCTAATTAGGAATTTTTGTTTTTAATGTGACTTTAAAGGAAAACATAAAACAGACATTGTTTAAAGTTTATTGGCATCTTTTCTGAATATTCTGATTAAACAGTTTTCAATACTGTGAACATTATATTAGAAAAATTCCATTCAAAACACAACATTTAAACCCCCTGAATGAATGAGTTAGATTTTATTCGCTGCAGCTGAAAAATGCAAGAGTTTACAGTGAGTTTTATTCTGATAAAATCAACGAGAACGATGTTTGAAAACCTCTGAATGCTCTTCAATGTGACACGTTTTGTAATAGTATGTAACGTCCACTAATGGTCAGTTTTTAACTACAGATTGACCTACGTGCCATCAGTCATCTAAAGACATAAATTCCATTCTCTAACGTGGATTTTATATTCTGCCTTTCACTAAGCCCAGAAGGTTCTGCAGCTCTGAACACATGATAACGTATTGTCAACTTCATGTTCCCTTCTCAAGGTCCTTCTGTGCCAAGCCTGTCTGCTGACGTAGGCCGTCCTGCACAGAAGAAAGGACTGAACTGTTATAATAGCGAGTGAACAAATGTCATATGAATAAATCATAATGTTTTGATTAATCTGTGCTTAAATTAATCAGGTTGATTAATCTGTGCTTAAATTACTGCGGTTGAAATGAAACATTTTGATATTATCTATCAATCAATCAAAGCTTTATTTATAAAGCGCCTTCCGCGACCCTGTTGGGAAGCCCAAGGCACTGAACACGGTACATGAGAGAAACAGGTAAAAACATTAAAGTAGAAAACAAATGGGTAAAACAAGAGATAAAGAGACAGATGAAAGCAGGGAATTAAAATCAACATAAATGAAGGCCGAACTCAAACACATTCAGGGAATGCCAAGCAGAGGAGGTGCGTTTTTAGGTGACTCTTAAAGAGCAAGTCACCCCCAAACCAACTTTTTTTTGCTGATAAACGACATGAACGAGTGTCTAATCGTGCTGCAGACATGTGTAGTCAATAATTTGGCACTTCAGTGCATTTTAGTTAAATTTTAAATATTCTGCCTAAAACTGTCAGTGCTGCGCCGTCATCAGGTAAACACTGCACTGTATTTGAATTTAAATCTGCTACCGCTATTGGCTAAGAGTTATGCTATGATGTAAACTGGTACATTATGATGTCACAATGCCATTGTAAGCCTGTGTGTTTGTGTATTTGTTAGCAGCTCCGCCCTCTCAGTCTGCCAGGCAACAGCATTTGTTGCATTTTTCAAAAATTAAGTGGGAGTGAAGTCTCTTGTAGGGGGTGACTTGCTCTTTAAAGGCTGGCAGAGACGGGGACAGCCTGACTGAGGGTGGCAACTGGTTCCAGAGTGACGGGGCTAGCACTGAGAAAGCCCGGTCCTCACGAGTACGACACCTAGAACGAGGGACAGCGAGCAGGCCTTGGTCAGAGGAGTGCAGAGCACGTGATGGGGAATGTCTGTTCAGCAGTGTGGCTACATAGGTGGGAGCACCACCCTGGAAGAAATTGTAAACAAAGACGAGTAGTTCAAAGTCTGAACGATAACAGACCGGAAGCCAGTGCAAGGAATCCAGAACCGGACTGATGTGGTCCCGTTTCCTGGTCCCAGCCAGAAACCTGGCTGCTCTGTTCTGCAGTAATGTTAGTTTAACAAGTGAATCACTATTTTCTTACAGCTCACACACTCAGACACGTGACGACGACACGGTTAAGCTAATATCCTGACACATTGCTTTCTGTTCCACGAATTCGAACTCCTGTATCTGACGCAAGGCGTGATGTTCTGAGGTTTGCTTGTTAACACCCCTTAACATGGCACGTCCCAGTTGGCCAAGAAATCATAATATGAGAATTTTAAAACAGAGCTCACTTGACGGTGAGTCAGTTCTAGAGCAAGCTACGGACACCGTAGCGAACCCTCTTTAACCCAGAGCAATTTTTGACAAGCTGTCAAAAACCCTGCTAAAAGCTGCCTACAGCTGACACAGCAAAATGGTTCCTTCAGCTACTCAGAAACAGCTGTTCTAGACGCAAACAATTTCATCTATCTGTTGTGACTCGGAACCATCTCTGGACTGGAGAGTCGGTGCTGCGGTTCATCTACCAAACCTCGGTGCCCAGCGGTCATCCAACCTCCCTGACCTCCTGATCCGCGAAGACGGTCTCCAAAGAAAGGGTGAGGTAGACACGCAGATTTCGTCTGATGCCGGTTTTGATAAGAACCAACTTCATAGCTTAATGCAAACCAAATTCTTTTACCCAGAACTCAGTTCTTCTGGATGCAAGGTTCTGATAACCTCATATTCACACATACAGTGCGCTTACATGCAGCCAGTAACCCTTTTAAAACCCGAATATTCACAATAACCCGGTTCCGCAGGTCCATGTAAACGCCGCCAAAAACCCGGATATGCTCATAACCGGGTTTTTAAAAACCCGGTTACTACACCTGGGGCAACCCTCTTCTAACCCGAATGTTTGGTCGTGTAAACGCATATCGGGATATCCCCATCAAAGCGTGTGTTCTGCGCATGCTCTGTTCGCAAGGAATCTTGGTCTTTTGAGTAGCGAGACGTCTTGTATGCGCCAGAACACCGGAAGTAAACAACAAGTTGGGAGTAACATGGCGAGTCGCGGCACAGCACCACACTTTTGGAGTGACGAGGAAACCTGTCTTCATCGGTCTGATGAAAAGTAAGAACATTATGTCTTTTGTTGACGGCCGAAAGTACAGAGACAGCGAAATATGACGCATATTGCGTCAGAACGTAGTCCATACGTCCTGACGCTACCTCAACGTCCGCATTTAAATCGGGTTATGCAAGTTAGGGGTAACACTTTCTATTTATGCTTGTAAACGGGGTATTCTGATCAACTCAGAAACCCGAATACCGACCTTAACCCGATCATAATCAGGATATTGGCTGCATGTAAACGTAGTCATAGTCACCATACATCACATCCCATCCTCTTAGATTCATCCATCACAGTAGCCTTGGTAAACTTGTCTTGTTTTTAATTTGTTTAGAAGATAAATTTCTTATCTTTAATAAAGCTGACTCTGTCTGAATTGAGACGAAGTGTGTTTGATCCCTGAAAAAGCAAAGAATCCTAGAATCTTCTGATTAAACATCCCAAGACCAGGCAGGTTGATATTCTATATTTATATAGAGTATCACAGCTTATTGGTCATAAGTAAAGGTAATATATTAAGCTTTAAAGCAACAGCATTTACCTCTCTACAAGTATAAAAAATACAAATTGAACCTTACATTTTCTTACAAATCAAAGCTCTGGTTACATATTTTAATGGGAGACTAGGCAGTTTTGGCTCGCTTTTAGCTCCCCCTAGTGTCCATTTGTATAACTGAATCAAAACCGCTGTACGTTTGTCTTTTTAACACCTTAATCTATCAGCTGAAATGTCTCCCCAGCATTCCTAAGTGTCTACAGGAGTGATTCCTCACTAAACTAAACAGATCAGCTGTGTTCATGATCTAAAACATGCAGGAAACATGCTGGAACCAGACTGCAGCGCCAGGTGTGTCAGTAAGTCCAACAGAGGAATAATCTGGCCACAGGGGGCGATACAGGCTGGGTGGCCTTTTATTAACGCTCTAAACTCTCATTTTGGCACATACTGGCTCAAGAAAATGATTTAAATATATGAAAAATTTGCATAGTGTCTTTAACCCTTTGATGCATAATGGTCACTACAGTGGACAGGTACTCAAAATTGTTATTTATTTGTTTTTGCTATCAAGCACAGCTGTTAAAGACTTTATTGCGTTTGAGCCTCTCCATTTGGACTTCAGTAAGCCAAGCCAACATATTTCATGCTCAGAATGCACGCTGTCCACTGAGGTGGACATGTAATAAATTATTTGTAAATTATAAAATTTAACAAAAAAGTATTTGTTGAAATTTGTTTCATTCACACCTAAAGATGAATGAAAAAAATTGTTAAAAAAATCATGGTTGAAGATTTCATAATTCATGCATCAAAGGGTTCAATTTAACACCACAACATAAATTCCTCTCACTTTGTTAGCGGACTCAAAGGCGGAACAGCCAGTCAGAACACCGTACTGGCTCTAGTCCACCAATATTCTGTCAAACCAGAAGTAAACAAGGTAATGTCTTCACCTTTCTGGACTCTGACAATGAATGAGTGGGTCTCCATGGAAACGAGGCGACAGTAGCCGTCAATCAAGTCGGCTAAGTTCTCCGCTGTGGTGAGGGATGCAGTCGTAACAGTGAGAGGCTGCACACACACACACACACACACACACACACACACACACACGTTTGTAAAACACCCACCGGTGGCCAGGATGATTGCATTAAATGCAACAAAGGGAAAACTTTAGGTCTGTTTTTCAAAAATGTTCTTAAAGATCTTAAATAAATCAAAAGACCCAAGTCAGATCAATAACTTTGTTATTGATTAAAACACCAAACATCAGACAGGAAGTGCAGCAGAGCGGGAGTACCTCAGCAGCTCCGGCTACATTCAGCTGCAGCATGCCCTTCCTGTCCTTCTCCTCCATGGCCGAGTACTGGATGGACTGGACTTGGTTAAAATTAGCTAAATGTGTGGGCTGGAAACAGAATGAAACAGCAGGTTGAATATGTTTGTGATTACTAGAATTCCAACAACATGTGTTTGTTGTGCAGCAGTAGAAACTCACGGTCGATCCCTTATCTGTGAGGTAACTGATCCCTTCTTCAGGCCCGATGGCCAGCTCTACCTGGATCACCCAGCTGGACTGTAGGGGGAAAGACGGGATATGAGTTAAACAGCCAAGGGGACACCTCAGGAGATGCATGCAGGTCCTGAAGCCACCACAGGGGGTCAACCTCCCACCGTCAAAAGCACAGAGAGAATGGAGGAGACCTACCCCGAGGGCACATTTGAAGAACTCCTTGTCATAGCGGTAGATCGGGGCAAGTGTCTCCAGGAACTTCAGGATGCACTGCTCATCGTTGAGATTAGCTACCTGCTTGAAGGTCTGCTGGATCAGCTTACGAAGCGTTTTAGCCTGGAAGTGAAGGGAAACGAGGAGAAGGAGCCGTAGGATTAAACACAAATGAAGGTGTTCTCTGATAAGCAGATCTCAGGTCAGATCAATAACTAAACTACAGTTCATACTTCACAGGATCGTCTTTACCGATCTCACCGCACACATTTAACAGCTTCAAACCTCAAATTATTTGAAAGTGCTGTAAATCTCTACAGAGCACACAGATGGGGTGAAATCTATCAAATACATTAATGCCATCCAATCCTGCCTGTTCTTCGTCACTCCCAAACACGCCTAGTTTAGATTTAAAAAACCACGCCTGTATGGAGAACCCCCCACGATCAGCAGCTCTCTGTGTCTGTAGATTAAATCAGAGATTAAAGGAGATTTATTTAGTGTTTTTATTAAAAAATAAAACCTGTTACAGTAGTGTGATGTTATCATAGAACACCCTCGCCACGAGAGGAAAAACAAAAGGGAGGACAGCTAACCTAAGCTGCTACTACTGTAGCACCTTCACAATAAGAGCACACACACACACACACACACACACACACACACACACACACACACACACACACACGTATAAAACAGTTTCATAATCCGGTTGTCCAATAGAATTTTATTAAAACAATATATTTAAAGAACTGGTTTATAAACTTCAGATGTTTTGAGACTCGTTTGTGTTTCAGGGCTGCAGCTGGTGGCACCTTTGGCTCACAGCGAGAAGGTTGCAGGATTAAATTCCCGTTCTCCCCGTGCATGTGTGTGTGTGTCCTCCCACAGCCAGGAGAGAGTAGAGAGCATCTCGGCGAGGAGAAGCTTACCACAGAGCAGAACTTGTGTTATTTATGGAGTTAAAACATCAACGATGCAAAGCAAATGGAGTCAGAGGTAGAGTCGTGTTGCTGTTAGCTAATCAGAGGCAAGATGTCCGAATATCGTGAATAATAACGAGTAAGACTCCAAATCCTGCTGTTTTCTCCATTGTTTTTTAAGTGGAGGACAGATTGACCAAAGTGTCTGACGCCATCTTCTCCCTTTGTTTCTTTTGGACATCCCGCGAGATGTCAGCGTTTCGCCCTTTAGAGCTCCCTCATTATTATGAGATATTAAACACCTTATGACAAGAAATACTCTCGTTAAAACGACTAAGAAAATGTCTACGGTAATTAGCGATGGGTACCGAATTCGGTACTTTTTAAGGTACCGACCGAATTCCATAGTCCCGACCGAGCACCGATTCAACTTCATTTGAAACGGTGCCTCGTTTCGGTACCCGTCCTTCATAACGAGAACTTGCCTAGACAGCTGTGCATGCGCAAGAGCGTAATGTCGTCAGTCCCTGCGAGCGAGTTGTAAACAGAGCAGCATGGTAGAAAGCTTGGGTCCACTTCACTAAATGTGATGGGTAACTGGGTGATGATGAAACCAGCGACAACGAACTAAGTGAGACATCCTCATCTTAATCTGCTCCGGTAGGTAAAGAAAATGTTTAAGAGAATGTTAGCTTGATATGTTAGCTTCCGTTCCGCTAATGGTGCGTTCGCTTTCTCCTCGGAACACCGAATTTCCGAACAGAAGAACATGAACGCGCTCTAAAGTTTGGCTTCACTTTACTAAATGCGACGGGTGATTGGGTGAAGATGAAACCAGCGACAATGATCTAAGTTTGAGGCATCATCGTTTTAATCTGCTCCAGCAGCTAAATAAACTGTTTAAGATAACGTTAGCTTGATATGTTAGCTTCCATTGCCACCATTGTTATCAGCAATTGGTGCGTTCGGAAATTCTAACTTCCCAGTAGGAAAAATCAAATGAAAAAGGACGGCAAAAGGAATGAAGATACACAGTAAATTTAGTTCACAGTAAAGATGTTTGCTTCAGTTTAATTATCAGCTTATAAAACTACAAGGACGATGTTAAAATACAAACAGTTGTATGTTATTTATCGTGATATTTATCAAATATGGTTATATATTGAGAAAAATATATATATTTAATTATAAAAGAGAATTAAAATAATAAACACTCAAAAGTATTGAAAATTGGTACCGTTAAGTACCGGTATTGATTCCTAGGTACCGGGAACTAGTACCAAATCGATTCAAATGTCAAAGGTACCCATCCCTAATGGTAAAATTTATATCGCGCTTTAACAAGAAACCCATTATGACAAGATACTGGCGATGTGTATTGGTGAAATGTTTGCGATACGATACGTATTGCGATACAGGGAGATGATACGATGTATCACGATAATGTGTGTGTGTGTGTGTGTGTGTGTGGGGGGGGGGGCTCGGTGCCCATCTCCAGCGGTCAATGGGCATTCAGGCGGGGTACACCCTGGACAGAGAGCCAGTCCATCGCAGGGAAATATTCAATAAACAGTCCAAACTGATACATGTTTAACATGAGGTATCTGAACCATAATAGAGGGATTTACATTTCAATGGTGGAAACAAAACCCATTGCACTCTGCTGCCAACCAGCGGTTGGCGTTTGAATTGCACCAAAACAAAGGAAAATACACAAATGTTTGCATGTAAATTCTTCCAACAATTATATACACAGCTTTTAAATATCTATCTTATATCGCTGGAAAAAAATCACGATATAATGCAATTTCGATATTTTCTTACATCCCTACAAGATTCTGCTCCTAAATGTTGTCTCGGACAGACAGCGATAGGCTTCCATAGGCCCTGGAATATCCCACTGTCAACGTTTTTCCTAAACATTTTGATTTTATTCTCAACATTCTCTGCTGGCTTTTATTTTTACTGTCTCCAATGTGGCACTAATGCTCCTTGGTTCAATATGAAGAGGTCCCAGTTTGACAACAATCAGACCAGCTGGATTAACTTGTGGATGACAGGTGACAGATTTTGTCTTTCAATTGTTTATTTCTACACTTTATTTCAGCATCACAGAGTCCTGCTGCCAGCTGTGCAGTCGCTAAGCCTGTGGGACCACACACACACACACACACACACACACACACACTACACACTACACATCCCATGTGAATACAACAGCGATGGATCAGAAAACACTCAAGATTACTAAGTAAATGTGTACTCCGAACAGGACTGATGCTTTCATTCCCAGGATTCCAACACACACCCTTCCTGAGAGGAAGTAGAGCAGCTGACTATCAGCCTCCCCATCAACAGGCTGACCATCGCTATGGCAACAAGCTGACCAGATGTGACACATCGTTTAATCCTCCCTTCAAGAACTCAGATTCTAACCCAACAACAGAACGTACTTATTCATAAGTTTAAAGGAATTAAAGTTGTGATAATTTTTCCAAAGTTGAACATTCTGCCTTTATTTCCACGTTACTAATACGTCTCATCTCGTATCCTGTGGGTGTTACCTACCTAAAATAGGATTAGTATTTATACTAAAAAAAAAAGAGTAAAGTTTCTTGTGTTGTTCTGGTCAAGAGAGGCAGGTGGTAAAAAAAAACAATACAACAATGTGCTCATCGTCTGACAGGCGAGACGAGCTTGCCACAACTCTGACCTCCAAAGGTCAGCTCCACTAAACCTGCTGGACGGCCTGTCAATGGGAATGAACACACTTTACTCTATATAACAGCTAACATAAGTCACCGTTTACGACCACCGCCATCTGCTCTGTGTGTGTGTGTGTGTGTGTGTGTGTGTGTGTGTGTGTGTGTGTGTGTGTGTGTGTGTGTGTGTGTGTGTGTGAGTCCATTGAGGGAGAATAATCCCATTAAATGACCACCGTTCTGTTTCAGCAGACAGAAACATAAATGACAGCTGTGCTCTCTGTCTGACACACACACACACACACACACACACACACACACACACACACACACACATACAGAGCAGAAACGAACCATCTAATTAACCCTACATGACTGCATCGGCGTCTCAAACTGACAACAGAATCATCAAAGCAGCTGATTCCATCAGATGTTTATAGGATAAAATGACAGATTTTTCTCTTGATTATCTGTTTTTATTAAACACACATTTTATTGCCTCCTAATTATTTTTTCATAGTTTTGGATGTTTGACATAAATATGCACCTCCTGCCTTTCTACAAGAGAAGTCAGCAGGGAGGGAAAGACAGGAGGAGAGGAGTGTCAACACCTCCTCCTCCCTTCTCATTGGGAAGAAGAGTGGGTTTAACTGTGACCTGTGGGTCACACACACACACACACACACACACACACACACACACACACACACACACACACACACACACACACACACACACACACACACACACGCACGCACGCACGCACGCACACACACACACACAGCAGACCATCTGCCTGCACGCCTTTTCGGGTCACTGAGACTTTTAATTCTCTCAAACACACACACACACACACACACACACACACACACACACACACAAATTCAAATACACACACTTGCGACGAGAACTACCTCATAAACACGTGCCGTAAATTTATCACTGACATGCCTAATTATGCAAACACACACACACACACAGATGCACACAAACAAAGCTGCACAAAAAGGGTCGACTTGCTTTATTTATTTGGTTCCGCCTGACTTCTTTTTGCACGTTTCAATAAAAACTTTCACTTTTGGCTGATATTTGCATCAGTGTGACTTCACATCAGATGTTTTGTTGTACTGCTGGTGATTTAATGCTCCAGGCCACTTCAGGCCTGAGGTAACACATGTTGAAGTCTGGCTTTAAGAGACCTATCCGCCCATCAAAGCGTCGTGGTAACGGAGTGAGCAGATGGAGCGCTGCGACGCCAGCTGCTGAGTGTCATCAGCACCCTAACCCTTTAGTCCCAACACAGGAAAACAAGCTGTTGGCCGTAAACATCTGAGCTAAGGGTGTGTTCGATTTTCCTCGGAAGTCGGAACTAGGAATGACGTCACACCCGAGTTAACAGCGTTCTGATTGCCGGAGACGGAGAAGTCGGGATTCCAATATGGCGACGCCCTCGAAAACTGCTGTTTTGTTAGCTCTCAACGAGCACAGACGACTCATAAACACACACAAAGCTCATCTTCAAAAGATATTCGAAGAGAGACAAAGATGATCTAAAACTTTTAGATTGTTCAGCTTGGAGTTGCAGGCGCTACATATAACATAGATTTTAGATGCACTCTTATAAGTGAGTCTTGTAAAGTAAACACATTTCAATCAAAACTACTGTTGTTGATATGGAGAGCTGCCATTTTGGATCTCGAAGTCGGGGTTGTGAAAATTTTCCGAGTTTCCGACTGGGAGATCCAACGTGGGGGGGGGGGGGGGGGGGGGGGGGGGGGTTCATTTGATTTCCGAGTTCGAATGCACAATCATTCTTACACAAACGGTTCAAAACAAAAGGACTCCACTTGTCCTCGTGTGGTCTCATCATCATCATCGTCATCATCGGCTTACCTTTACAGAGTCCAGGAGATCTTTAGGGAAAAACCGCCTCAAACCAACATCTTTCCTGAAAAGAGAGCAAAAACAAGATAGAGATCAGAATGGTTGTCATGCTGTAATCACACAGGAATGTTAATTTAGAAGCACTCCTCTTGTTCATCTGATCTTGCCAAGAACTTTACCTCTCCTAAGGTATTACTAACAGTTTCAGACCAATACGTAAAGAAAAGGGCATCACTGCTGAGGACAGGACTGAACCCGTCCTCCCTTATTAGATGTGTGGAAGTAAAAACATAAAAGGCAGGAGGAGGACAGAGGCAGGTGGTGGTAGAGATGAGCAGAGTTCCAACAGGAAGTGAGCTAATGACTCGTGTTCCTCTGAGGAGAAGAGGACTGGGAGAGGGGGACATGTAAAGGGCTATGGGGAGTTGCGTCATCTTTTGTACTTCATGTTCCTCCAACAAAGGTCCCACTTCAAATCCATATGACAGCATCATAAAGTCATTTGACTTAAGATCAACATGTTAAAAATCCGGGACACCCACTTAATCCCACGACTGAAGCCTAATTTAGGAAATTAAAGAACATTTTATAATGTGAATCCAGCTTTTATATTTTTTTAGTTCAGTTTTATTAATAAACTGATGAGTGGTTAGTGCCTAAATTTGAATGGGAATGCTAAAAACATCTAAACAGGGAGGAAGTAAGCTAATGTTAGCGTTAGCAGACTGGACTTCTATTGAGTGTTCAGAGGAAAGTGATGCATTTCTTCTTTAAAGTGACAGTGTGTATTTTCCCTGGAGACAGGGGGCAGTGCATACCTAAATGATTGAAAGCAAGCATTACTATTGTGCACAAGTAAGACCTAACCAATGGATTAGGCCATTAGGATCAAAAATCCCTGGGAGTGCAACCTCCAGCTAAATAACAAGAACATCAAACAACCTTTCATCACAAACAACGAGTGAAGAGGTAAATGTGTAAAGCAACAATGTTTACTAATGGTAAAAGTTTTGTAACCATTTGTTACAAATCAGTAAATGTGTTTTGTCCTCTCGGGCTTCCGTGTTAAACAGGCCACCACGCTCGGCAAGTTTAAGAGCCAGCTGAAAACACACTTTTATTCTTTAGCTTTTATTCAAGAAGAGCCTCGTTAACGGATGGCTTTGCAATTTTTTGATGCCCCAACTAGATTTTATCTACATGTTTTTGTTGGTTTTTAAATGGTTTTATATGTTTTTATTTTTTATGTTTATTTCTGCTGTGCAGCTCTTTGCTTGGTCTTTGGGCCATGTGAAGACGCTATATAAATAAAGTTTAGTAGTAGTAGAAGAAGGAAACATGGCATCCAACATGACTTAAATCCACTCCATGTATTTTAGACCAGATTTTTATGGTTACACGTTACGAAACTGCCAATATTTTTCATCAACTGGGCATCTTTTAATTCATTTACAACAGAGAAAAACTCTATTTTTTACTAACCATGGATTTGATAAACTGGTCATTCAATGTGATCGAGGTTACATTCTCCTGGTGAGTGAACGCTGGCTGCCGCTGCTCACCGGTTGTTAGTTGTTTGTACGTTACTTTTATAAATTTTTATACATTTTTACGCTATTTTGTGCTATTTTGGATGCCTACCTGAACTGTTATTCAAACCTTTTCGAAAACCTTCCCATCTGACTGAAATAACTGCCTGTCTGAGGGGCCTAAACACGCTCGCTCAGCCTCAACAGTCTAAAATGTGGATCCACGGCTTATGGGTGTGGTCCGTGCTCACCTGGGTCGTCTTGTCCATCTTCCACTACCCAATGACTGCTCTTCTTCAATATTCTGCTCACAAACTTTTATGGCTGCGCTTTTCCCTGCCGGTTCCTCCACCAGCGGCCCTGCATCTCCATCCAGACATCGCCTTCCAGCCACGCCGCAGAAACATTCATCGAGGATCCCGACGAAGTTTCTGTGTCCAAGAGTCTGGTGCAGTCAGCTCCTTCTGGTCCAAAACCCGCCGTCCTTCCCATACAAAGACCCGAACTGCCAACCACCGCATGCTAGCCCACCTAGCCAGGTCGGCTGAGCATACGATCAAACACGACAACTCCACCATCAACTTCGGCCTACTGAACATTCGCTCTCTTACGGGAAAAGGGCATCTCGTCCACGATCTCCTTTCTGACCATAAACTCGACTTTCTCTGCTTGAATGAAACTTGGCAACACCCTAATAATGACTTTATTTCACTCAGTAACTCCACTCCGCCTGAGTTTTAAACCGCGGGAGTCAGGGAGGGGTGGAGGTCTCACGATAATTCACCGGAAGCAGTGGAAAGTCTCTCCAGTCTCTGCTCCATCCTTCCACTCATTTGAATACAGCGCATTACAACTCCCTGGATCCACTCCTATCATCATATGTACTGTCTACCGCCCACCTAAGCCGAATAAGGACTGCTTAAATGACTTTACTGCTCTCCTCACTCACCTTTCCACACTCTCTCCCAATCTGATAATCACTGGTGACTTTAACATTCACATGGATGAAAATAATCTTCTTACCAGAGTCTTTCCTTCCTGTTTAGATAGTTTTGGACTCAAACTGCATATCAACTTCCCCACTCACTCCAAAGGCCATATTCTGGATCTGGTCTGCTGTTCGGGTATTACCCCGGCCCAATGCATAGCCAGTTCTTTTCCTCTTTCAGATCATAAGTTAATCACATTTAATGTAACTATAAAGGCCTCTAAAACCCATATCCCTCGCAATATTGTTTTTAGAAAAATCAACAATATAAATCTTGATGCATTCTCCTCTGCAATATCTGATCTACAGTCTGCTCACATTACCTCATCCGAGGATCTTGTTTTTAACTATAATTTTAATCTAAATAACATTCTCAATACTTTTGCCCCAATTAAGCAAAGATCTGTCTCATTTAACCGCTCAGCACCTTGGTTTAACTACGACCTTTGCTGTCTTAAATCCGAAGGACGCAGATTGGAACGTTTGTCTAAGAAAACCGGCCTCACTATCCATAAAGATCTATATAAGAATCACTTATTGCATTATAAAGACTCCATTCACACAGCTAAATCGGTTTACTATTCTAATTTAATCAGCTCGAGTGAAGTGGAAAGCTTTGCTTGGTCCTTGGGCCATGTGAAGGCATTATATAAAGTTTTTTTAGTTTTTTAGTTTTTTCTCTGCTTTTTTTCTGTTCTCCAAAATTACAAAGCCTCCTGATTTATTGCTTAACAGTATGGTTTCCTCTGACTATTGCAACTCCCTCATGTCCTTCTTCACATCCAAAATCTCAAATATTCGCCAACAACTCCATGCTACTAGTGATCCTGTTTCAGAAGTTGAACCCATCCTTACAACTCCAAGTCATTTATTCTCAAGTTTCAGTCTCCCCTCTGCAACTGAGATATCAAATTTAATCAGGGAATCCAAATAATCCACCTGTCTGCTTGACCCTCTCCCCACAGTGCTACTTAAAGCCTGTCTTCCATCGGTTCCTCTCATATCTACAATCATTTACTCTTCCCTCAGTACCGGAGTTGTTCCTGCAGCATTAAAAACTGCCTGTATTACTCCGATTCTCAAAAAGCCCGGTGCGGATCCCACCAACTTTGATAATCTTCGTCCAATATCTAAATTACCATTTATTTCCAAAATCCTTGAAAAAGTTGTTGCTTCTCAGCTTCACTCTTATCTCAATTCTCATAATCTATATGAACAATTCCAATCTGGTTTAAGACCACAACACAGCACGGAGACAGCACTAGGAAAAATCACAAATGATCTACTAATGGCAGCAGACTCAGGCCATCTCTCCATTCCGGCTTTACTAGATCTAAGTGCTGCATTTGACACCATTTCTCATAGCATACTTCTCAAAAGATTAGCATCTATCGGCATTAGTCACACATCCCTAGCCTGGTTCACCTCATACATATTGGATCGTACTCAGTTCATTCAACTTCAATCTCACTCTTCTAGTTCTTCCCCGGTTACTGCAGGAGTTCCCCAAGGCTCAGTTCTAGGCCCTATTTTATTCATCATCTATTTGCTCCCCCTTGGTTACATTTTCCGCAAATACAACGTTGATTTTCACTGTTATGCTGATGACACCCAGCTGTACATTTCCTCCAATCCAAATGCATCCCTTCCACCAATCTCCCTCTCTAACTGTCTATCTGAAATTAGATATTGGCTCTCTCAGAACCTACTTAAACTAAACAGCAATAAAACGGAACTCCTACTCATTGGCACCGCTTCTGTTTTAAAAAATTCTCCCAACTCAATATTGACGACTCCACAGTTCACCCATCCTTACAGGTAAAAAGTCTTGGTGTCATACTAGATGGTACACTTTCATTCCAATCTCACATTAACCATGTTATTCGAGTCGCATATTACCATCTTCGCAATATCAACAGACTCCGTCCTTTGCTCACGCCTCATGCTGCTGCAATCCTCGTTCATAGTCTCATCACCTCTCGCATCGACTATTGTAACTCCCTTCTATTTGGTCTCTCAACTAAATCCCTTCATAAACTCCAACTTCTCCAGAACTCTGCAGCACGCATCATTACTGGGACCCCCTCAAGAAATCACATCACTCCTGTTCTTAAAAACCTACACTGGTTGCCAATAGAAACCAGGATCATATACAAGATCCTACTACTTACATTTAAATCTGTACATAGCATGGCTCCACTTTAGCTATGTAATTTACTAACTATTGCAACCACTTCCCGATCTCTTAGATCCTCATCTGCACTTCATCTGGTTCAACCTCGAGCTCGCCTTACCACCATGGGGAGCAGAGCTTTCAGTTGCTCTGCTCCACGGCTCTGGAACTCACTTCCCTCTGCCATTAGAAATATGGACTCTTTTCCATTATTCAAGGCACACCTCAAAACCCACTTATTCAAACAAGTTTATTCCCTTTAGACCTAGACTTTAGAATTGTTTCAAATTTTTATGTATCTTGTTTGTTTTTATTGCTCTATCTAACCTCTGTTGTTTTTTGCTTTTATCTTTGTAAGGTGACCTTGGGTTTGAGAAAGGCGCCCTCAAATAAAATGTATTATTATTATTATATTATTATAAGATTTTTTCAACAATGAGAACGGAGCAGGGGCTCCCACATGTCTACAGGGGACACAAACGGTGGGATATATTTTGGATTCCTGGAAGGAGTGGAAGATCATATGCCTCTCCCAGCTGTCCACTGAGGACATCAAAGACGTGTGGCTATTTGGTCTGATGATCACTGGATTTCTCCTGATTGGAGTGGGAGGATATCTGGTTTTCTGGAAATTTGGGAGGACGGGAGCGATTGGAGGGCGACCCGCACCCGTGGAAAGCACCGTCCGTGTGGAGACTTCTCAGACTGGGACGTTACTCGAGGTGAATCGTAAGCTGGACAATGTTCTAGCTGCGATACCGGTATTAGTGTGCAAAATGGATGTCATCTCGGAGAGTCACCGGACGGTATGGAGCAGTTTAAAACCCAAAATTGGCTTCACTGAAGGACTGGAAATGATCAGTTTAAAGACTGAAGGCAGAGAGGAAAATTATCTCAGCCTGACCCAAACAAATTCTTGTTATCTGAATCTGACGCCCTGGTAGCCTTGAGCTGCAAGCAAATAAAACCCCCATGAAGGAATGCAGACAGATGCTGTGAAAACCTGACCCCCCCCGATTGGTAAACTTCAGCCTGGCGAGGTCAACAGCTGGAGGAGTCAATGTGCTCTTCGCTTTTCCCAAGATCTCCCTCCCACCTGTGACTGTACAGTAGATGAGCACCTTAGATGGCTGCTCTCGCTGGGGGAAACAGGATCCCCCCCCCCAGAGGGTAACTCTAAAGTGCCTTTTTTTCCTTCCCTCCACCTGAACCAATCCTCATGTAACCCTCTTGTCTATTAAGGTAGCGCGACTCTGGTTGCGAATGACCACACTCATCAATTCTTGTCATGTGTCTTGCCTATGTATGTCTGATGTCTGAATTGTGTGTACTGAAACTCTAATTTCCCTCTGGGATTAATAAAAGATTGATTGATTGACTGATTGATTGAACATTTTGATGGATAATTCCAGAGATTAATGGTAAAAACTCCATATCTTTAATACATCTGCTGTAGAAATGCCTCGTAAGTCGTTCTCCGACAAAAAAAGCTCAGATGCTCCAGTTTGAGGACGTAGACGTCAGCCGGAGGAGAAAGTTGCCTCTGATTGGCTAACGGCAACATGACTCTACCACAGACTCAGTTTGCTGTGCAACGTTGATGAAGTTCTGCTGTGTGGTGTGGATGCTAATGCTAACAGTTAGCTTCTACTAGCTAAGGTTTCCTGCATGATAAACCAACAACAGCCTTCCTTGTTGCAAGTCCTGATGAAGACTGGTTCTGTTCCAGGGACGACTATGGAACCACTGGAGATGATGGTGCAAAGATCATTTCTCCCTAAAACCAATAAAATGATCAACAACCATTAGGATCAGCTGATTATTTAACCGTTGTTCTCTTACTTGTTGATACTACTGAGATGCCAGGGTTTCACCTCCTCACAGAGGGTAACAGAGGTCTCCTTTTTGTAATTTCTATAAAGATCTAAATGACTGGTATCATACATTAGCTAAAGCCAGAAGTGAAATTCTGACTCAACAGAAGCAGAGCAGCCCCCTCATGGCCAACGGTCGGTTTGAAGTATCAGAGCCCTCATAGCACTTTCCCTCGTCTCTCACAATGGTTTAAAATATGTGTGACTCGACATCTTTTTCCAATCAGCAGAGAGGGAGTTAGAGAAAAGAGCAGCAGCACAAGAAGAAAGACAGACTAAAACACAGGAAGTGAGGGAAGGACTGAGAGAAAACAAAATTCCAGGATAGAGACATTCTTCTCAGTTAATTGGAAAGCTCGTTAAGTCAGAGTTCAAACAGGCCGGAGTACAAGAGGGTGTCTCATTAGAATCAGACCATGTCCGATATGAGCCCCATTTAAACCTCCACTCACTGACCATCTTTGTCATAAGAGCCCAAACGAGGCGACACAATAATAAAAAGAAAACTGGAGTTTAAAAGTTTCCTCTTTAATGCTTCATGTAACAGTCGGACGACAACTGTCCTGAAGTGATTTTCTAATTTTTAATTACCTTGAATCTACAACCAGCTTCCTAAAGGTTTAGGGCAAGGAACATGAAACCAGCTAGAAGCTCAGGCTTTTTTATTTTGTTTGTTTGGTTTATCGCTTGTCTTGGTAAAGAGCCAGAGTCTGCCGCTTTGTGCTGAGTCATGAAGATAATACTCACTCCAGAAGCTCGTAGTTGGATTTCTTGTCTAGCGCGTTTCCTCTCATCTCTTTAAAGAACCTCCTGGAAGAAAAACAAGTATTTTATGTTGGGGTTTTTTCCATTTTAGTAATTTGCACATGAAAAACCTACCTGATTTCTAAACAGCCCAACTTGAGAGCTACATCTTGTTCCACCTTGTCCCCATACTGTGTCATGTAGTCATTCTTCACCTGGAAGACAACGCAAACAAAAACTGAATTTTAACATTCATTTATTGTCCTCCAAAAAGCTAACTGTCAACATGAGCTTCAGGCTGGTTGTGGAGGCAGGGGTCTAGAAAAAAACGAGGAAACGCAAAGAACTGCAACCTGTGGATATCTGCCATTCGAAGTCAAGAGATTCCCAATTCATCCTGGAATGGGAGTGGTGCTCCAATATTCTTCTTTGTTATTTTCCTCTCGTCTAACAAGGATGTTAGCAGTAGAACAGGCTAGTATTAGCAGTAACTTGGGCTAGAGTTAGCAGTAGCTCGACCTAATATTAGCAGTGGCTTGGGCTATCGTTAGCAGTAACTCGGGCTAGAGTTAGCTGTAGCTCAATTTAATATTAGCAGTAGCTTGGGCTAGTGTTAGCAGTAGCTCGGACAAGGGTTAGCATTAGCTAAGTCTAGCATAGCAGTTGTCTGAGCTAGCGTTACCAGTAGCTCGGGCTAGAGTTAGAAGTAACTTGAGCTACCATTAGCAGTAGCTCAGGCTAGCATTAGCAGTTACTTGGGCTAGAGTTAGCTGTAGCTCAGGCAAGGGTTAGCAGTAGCTCAGACTAGTGTAAGCAACAGCTCAGGATATCGTTAGCAGTCACTCGGGCTAGAGTTAGCCGTAGCTCGATTTAATATTAGCAGTAGCTTGGGCTAGTGTTAGCAGTAACTCGGACAAGGGTTAGCATTAGCTCAGGCTAGCATTAGCAATTGTCTGAGCTGGCATTAACAGTAGCTCAGGCTAGCATTAGCAGTAGCTCAGGCTAGCATTAGCAGTTATTTGGGCTAGAGTTAGCAGTAGCTCAGGCAAGGGTTAGCAGTAGCTCAGACTAGTGTAAGCAAGCTGGCATTAACAGTAGCTCAGGCTAGCATTAGCAGTAGCTTGGGCTACCGTGACCAGCGTTTATATATTGCAGACGCTGAAGTGGGTTGGGACAGGCAAATGTAAGGGGTGTGTCTAATGTGTTAAATCAGCTTGTTTCAAAATGAAACTGTTTCCCCATGGCCATTACAAAATTACTAATTTACAAAGGAAAGCCGGTGAGAGACAACACAGGCTTTTCGGTATGCTACATTAGACACTCCAAGCTATCTATAGACCCGTTGATGTGTGATGTCACGTTCTCAAGATCCCGCCCCAGCTTCTGGCTGGGGGTGTCAAGGCGATTCTTCAATATTGACCCGCAAAACGCAAAAGAGATCCAGTTACATCTTTGTTGCTTCAACAATGTAAAGTCCAGGCATGTTAGTCAAATAATTGTGGATATCCTCGTACCAACGGCCAGTTCTGTTGTCCCCACAGCTCCTTAGCTATTTCAAATGGATCTGGAAGCTTTGCGCTAAACACTGATAGCTTTGAGATGTAACTTTTTGATCATCTGCACAAAGATGTGTTAGATGACCTTAAAATTGTAATATCTAAATCCTACGGTTTTATTAGTTAGCTTAAATCGCTGGGATACAGCTCTGGATAATGGTTGAAGAGGGTCTTTTTGTCCTCCAGCATCATGTGGGTGTGCACTTTTACCCGGATGTAAACCGTAACATTCAAGAGGTCTATAATAACAGCAAGTTAAATGTGATTTTAAGATCTAAAGCCACTGCAAAACAAACATTTGGGTGCTGTCAGGTGTGGTGTGCATAGTACCTGATGGTAGAAGTAGTTGAGTGTAGGTTTATCTTCTGTGAACTGCTGCACAAAGCCTTTTGGCAGATAGCGGATCCTTAACTCATACCTAAAAAAAAAAGGATCAAGACAGTTATCACACTAGCCAAAGCTAAGCTCTACTGCCTGGACAGATCTAGTGGTGGACAGCTTTGCACTAAATTCTTAAAATGTACCATGTGTCTCTAATTAATATGTAAACTAGCGATGGTCCAAACTCATGCATAATGTGAAAGCACAGTTTGGAGGGGGGAGAAGGTTTTTAAACACACAGAAATACAGAAATCTTACAGAAAATGTGTGTTTCTAAACGTCACTGAATGCTAATGAGGCCACTGGTGGTAAAATCAGTCTATTAGAGACCGACTCAGACATACAGGGGTGTTGACTTAGTCAGACAAAGCAGACATCTGGTTCTCTCTCTTCCTTTTTGTGTCTATGATGAAGTTTTCCACCTCACAATAGCGTTAGCACCAAGACTGACACAATAAATTCACGAGCCTTTACATTTTTACTACGCACGCACACACACACACACACACACACACACACACACACACACACACACACACACACACACACACACACATGCAGAAAACAGACAGGTTCCACTGTTTCTGAGGTGGTTTGTTTAACAAAACAGGGACTTGCAAAAAAGTCAGGTAAAATCAGGAAACTGTTCATCAACCATTTTTTAGAGACAACTTTTATCTTCTGGTGTCTCAGGGCATACGCAGGGACTTATAGCAATGCAACTGCAACAAATACGGCAAACATTTGTATTTTGTGATTCAAATGGAAAGAAATCCATTTTACGAATAAAACTTTAACCAAAAATAAAGTTTATTCAAATCTGCCAACGTAAATGACCAAAAAACTCTTTTACTGAGTCAGTCAAGCTGTTAACGTTTAACGTCTTGACCAGTGTTTTTCTGCCAAAAATCTGCTAATTGACACATCTCTGTTTTCGCCGGAGCTGTACTGCTTTGCTCAACATCCACAGAAATAGGCGCGATACCTCACATCAGCGACGACACGTACGTAGCGTCTTTGTTACATTCGTTCTGTGTTCCATTTTTTAGGTTCTTTTCTATACACAAAGTAGCAGAGCTTGTTTTTACAATGGCGATGCTCTGACGAGGGCGAATGCAGTAGTAGAAACTTTCCAAAAGCTTTCCAACTCTGTGTGTACGAACCAAAGATGTGGTCTGGGTAAAAAAAAAAAGATTCAACCAAGTGTTGTTTATCTCAACCTTTCAATAATAAAAACAGAATGTCACTGCCTTACTGTGGGTTGGGGGGGAGATTATTCCAGGGCATGTTTGAACATTGAAAGCATAAATTATATTGTATAGATCCTTTAGCATTTGTTACAGAATATAAATCTTATGAATGTTCTAAAAGACGACCAGATGGACCAGCTCTGTTGTTCTAAGTGTCCAGACGGCTGATGTTTTACCTCCACTCCTCATTGGGCCGTGCTTGTTCATATTTCTCTCTGATGTGGGACACGCCCATATCTGGGTGGAGCCAGTGCACCTGGTGTCGGCTTTGGCAACAAGTGAGACGAAGGCCAAAACACGACGTCCAGCGAACTTTGTGGATGTCCAGAATCTTCTGGATGATCCCCTGCATTAAAAAAAAAACAAAGGTTGAAAACTGAGATTCTGTTTTGACCACTTGCAAACACAATGTTCCCAGCCAAACATCATACATTCACAATAATGATCAAAGAACCATGTGTGTTGCCACGTAAAAAGCAGGGGGTTTGACCCAGTTACTGAAGAAGAAAGGGTGGAATAAGGCCGTGACGTATCCTGAATGAAGACTAACAGTTTGAGTTGTGTACAAATATAGGTCCTTCGGTTAAGCGTACACCTCATAAAATGTCAACAATGCAGCGGGTTGTAAAATGAAGCTTAGAAGGTCCAGGGCAGGGGCGGCCGTCAACACCAAATGTTAGTGTAGATGTTCAGTTCAAGATGTTAACCTTGGCTTTCCATCGGATGTGTGGCGATGCACAACATTGCAGCTAATGGCCACCGCTAAAGAAGATCGATTTGTTTCCACCAGGTGCGTAGAAAATCTATGCCCCATGTCTATTTTTCACCTGCCGCATCTCCAAAAAGAAAGCTCCAAGCTCAGCCGTTCAGATCATGCCAGAAAGGAAATCGTACATGGGAGAAGTATGAAGCGTCTTGGCAAATTTCAAAATAAAAGTCACATGCAGATTTCCTGTTGCTTCACTATAAAAATCATCCATTACCTGTGGCAGTCCCTTGGCGGAGCACAAAATAAACTAAAGATCTTTTGGATACCTGTCGCCATTTTTCTTCTTGCCTGAGCTGGTGAAATGGTAAATGGCCTGTATTTGATATAGAGCCTTCTAGAATCCCATAACCCCCCCCCCCCCCCCCCTCCCCCAGGTGCTTTACAACACAATCAGTAATTCACACACACATTCACACCCTGGTGGTGATGAGCTACCATGTAGCCACAGCTGCCCAGGGGCTCACTGACAGGTGCCACAGTCCCTCCAACTATCACCAGCACAACAACAGCGACAGACTGAGCAGGACTCGTACCAGCAACCCACCAATTACAGGGCAGACACTTAACTCCTCTGCCACCGTCATGTGATTATGCGATATTGCAAATCTCCTGCGATTTCGCTTTCTCGCCGGACCAGATGCCAGAAACACTTTTCAAACAGAAAAGCTTCAATGAGCCTCGACATCGTCTGAAACTCTACTAGTGAAACTGTCCTACAGATACTTCTAAGGCTGGACCCCCCAAGAGGCCTTTTAGACATCTTCATGTAACTAAAGATGGTTTTATAAAGCTTTTAGAATCCGGTGATATCTTTTAGCTGTATAAAATCCAATCCAACCTTTCAAAAGATAAACGAGGAATCCGTTGTCTCACCCTGACATCCGTTGCGTCTCCATATCTGATGTTGGAAGACCAGAAGCTTTGTTCAGTGTTGATCTCAGAGTGGTGGAAGACCTTCAGAACCCTGTCCACGGAGCCAGCCATGGTTCGGTCCGATACCCCCAAACTGAGCTGGGTTTTGGGGCCTCCCAGGAGGGGGTTGTTCAGGTTGGAGTCCAGGTAGGCTGTTGCCATGGTTTTCCCTGCTGATACCGCCGCTGCTAGGTGTCTGTCATATTCTGCAGGGCAAATTAAAAGACAGTCCTACATTAACTTCATTTAAATCAGCGACTCGCCATGAAATTAATGTTAGATAATAATTTCTTGTGATTGTGTGAAACAAAACTCAACAGTAATAACATCTGAACACTTCATGTTTTCTAAAATCTACATAATCAACTATTTTACTTTTACTTAGGGTTTTATTTGATTATTTTGTAATCAGTCGTAGGGCTGCACAATATATCGCAAATATATCGTTATTGCGATATCAGCAAGCGTAATATGCATATCGCAAAGAACAGATAAATATCGTAATGAATGGTCAGCTTAAATGTTTGCTACACATAATGCAATCTGTCGAACAGATGTTTTTTTTTAACAAATCAAATAGAGCTCGTCACCCTTTTGACCAATTGGGTGGGTTTTCATAGGTTAGATGCCCGCTCCCGAGGCGGACGGCACTTAATTTTGATGGTTAGCAAAAACCTGAGTTAGCTTAGTTCTGCTCTTTCTGCTGATTCTGCTTTTCCTGGGATCCACTGATTGCCTTTTCAAGTTCATTTTCTTTTTCCCTTTTCTCACATCTTTTGCTTTTCTCATTTTTATGATTTAGTTTAGCCATTTTTTAAGTGTCTTTGTTTTTGATTTTCTTTTGTTCCTGAGTTAAGTTTTTATTTATCGCAAGTCATATCGTTATCACAATATTAATCACTGTTATCGCGTACTGCAGGTTTTCCTAATATCATGCAGCCCTAGTCAGTATACCCACTACTTTGGGTGAGGGAAGCGACATGCAAAAACATTTCAAGCTCAAATCTTTTATTGTCATACAAACAAAAGTTGCAATAAGCTAGATTTTTGCGTCAGGTCCCATTTTCCGTCCAAGACTAGACTTTTATAGTGTTACTCAGACACAGACCAAATTTTATGCATCTGATGGAAATGTGACAACTTAAACAGCATTTTCTAAACTTAATATGAAAGGTTTAAGCTTTGGGATTAGTGATACTGGTTTTGAGGGTTGATCCCAATTTCTAATTCCTCTGACCTGCTCTTATCAACAGAGTACATTTTGTAATTTCTGATTAAAATGACAACTAAGGTATTGGTAGAGTGGATTAGTGATTAGCAATAACAAGAATGGAGTAGGAAGTTTCAAGATTTTAATTGCTGCTTGGCAAAGGTGCCTCAGAATAAAAAACAAACAAAAATCTGTTTCTAATTGCCCTGAAAGTATGTAAGTAACCACTAACTGGTTGAAAGTATTCCAAAGCACTTAAAGTGCCTGTATCATGGTATTTCTCACCTTCCAGAACAAAGATGGCCACAATATATGATAAAATATTACTGCGGGCACTGTTGAGATGTCTTTTTTACTAAATTTAAGTTATTTTCGTGATTCGTCCTTCAACCCGGAAATGAGAGGCTTGGATTAAACTCCGCCTCCTCTCATTTGAGTTCCACAATAGTGCACAGTTGCATATCCGGAGAATGCAGATTCACACTATCATGTCCCACTCAGCAATTTCATGAGAAAACAATAAAATTTGGTCTTAAAGAGCAAGTCACCCCCTACCAGAGTCTTAATCCACTCCCACTTCCTGTTAGAAAAATGCAACAAAAGCTGTTGCCTGGCAGACCGAGAGGGCGGAGCCGCTAACAAATTCACACACACAGACTCACAACGGCATTGTGATATCATAATGAACCAGCTAACGTCATAGTGTACTGCTTAGCCAATAGCAATGGCAGATTAACATTCAAATGCAGTGCAGAGTTTTTACCTGAAGAGGGCGAAACACTGAGTTTTACGCAGAATATTTAAATTTTAACTAAGATGCACTTACGTGCCAAATTATTGACTGCATGTGTCTACAGCACGATTAGACACTCAGTTATATAGTTTATCGGCAAAAAAATGTTGGTTTGGGGGTGACTTGCTCTTTAAGCTCTAACAAGTGTATTTTGCGTGACACAGGACCTGTAAAAACAAACAGGTTTTGCCCTGGACTGTGAAAATAATCACTCAAATTTGCCCAACTAAAGGACTCTTAACTCCGGCAATGACTCAGCTAAATTTACAACAACCACAAAGTTGCTTTCATATCCCACCAGTCCTGGTTTTTATCTCGGTGTGACCTTTAGTGGTGACCTTCCCTTTTCTCCCTGCTGTTAGTTAAAGACAGCTACACCTCTAACGCCGCGCAATCAAATCCTCCTTGGTTCTTTTTTCCACTGAGCGCTTCCTGCGCCGTCTGACGCAAACTTTGTACAGTGAGTATCTATCCTCCATGTGTTTTTGTTTGTGAGATAAAACACAATGAACAATAAGATACCAGAAAGAGAAATAAAGAGAGAAGGGAAGTCAGGGTCAAGTCTCATTATGTAAGCATCCGTGTCTATAAAACAGAGAGACAATGCACCGCCAGCTGCCATTTTGTCCTGAATAACAGACTCTGACATTGACACACTTCCTGTAATTTCATCTGAAAATGAACTAAGAGAGCAACGTTTGTAAGAAGGTGCGTCGGTGCGCTGTGGTCCACTTCAAAACAAAACAGGTTTTGTTTTTCTGCTTCCAGTTTTTCTTCTTCATTAAATGAGAACTGATATGTTTAAGCAGGTAATGACACCTGAGAGGGGTGGAGGGTACACACACACACGTATATACAAACACACACTCTCTGCAAACCAATGGTCTTGGCTGTATACCAAGTCAGTTCCCATGGAGTCAGATGTCACTATGCAGAGTGGTTTTAGGTTTCTTCTGTCTGAGATTGTGTGTGTGTGTGTGTGTGTGTGCGCGCGTGCGCGTGTGTGTGTTAAGGAGATGTCATTCATACCTCTGTTCCAGCACATGGGGAAAGGGCTGCAGCCACTCATCGCCATGGAAATGCATGTCTGCCCTTTCCTGTGCCTGTCTGCACCAAGGACAGAGAGGCAGCTAGCGGCTTCGCAGCCTCTCATCTCACACTCTGAACTTCTCGTGTGTGTGGGGGACGAGTAAATAAACACAGCAAGATCCAGACACAACTCAGAGAAAATGCTTACATAATCCAAACACTAATTTGCGCGAAGCTCAGTAAGACAAAAAAAACCCATCTCACGCGACTGTTTTTGCAAAGAATCACTTCCAAAGGGATGGAATCCTCAGAAGACCCGGTTTTCAGTGTTGTAGGGTGAAAATCCTCCGATACACAATAAAGATAATCCCTCTGTGAAAAGTTTCTGCTTGTCCTCCGGGTCATCTCCCGTTATCCAAAGTTCCAAAAGCCAAAACAGAAAATTCCTTCTTGTCCCTTTTTCGTCCACTCCTGAGTCTCTCCTCAGCAGTTCCTCTCTGATGAGGACACATCATTTGTTTTAAGCCCGCAATCTGCTCCGTGCCCACCCTCCATAGTTGCAGAGTTGCCGTGGAAAGTGTCAAGCAACTGTTGCTCAGGAGAGAATTTGGGTTATTCCTTTCAGCAAAGTCTTCCAGCGAGAGCTCGAAGACAAATCCGGCTCATTCCGCGCTGATCCAGAGGACTTTAACAGAGAGACAACCATGTCTCACTCAGATCGAAATAAGAAAACTCTGCTATTGTCTTCAGTCGGAAACAGAAAGTGAGAGGACGGAGCGAGCCAGGTAAACAAAGGAAGCGGGGACAGCGATTGTTTGGAAGTAAATGAGAGGAAACGAGGACAGAGCGACGCAAGTTACCCGGAGCGGGGGCTGCTACAGGAGCAGGAGGAGCTAGCTACTATTAATATGCTAATTCACCTTTCTTCATTCAATAAAAAACCCCTCCCTCTTCTGCTCACACAGCTGATCTCAGAACTGCACTTTGAAGAGACAAAACAAACTTTTATCTTAAATCTGAGAGAAAACCTGCATCCCTGCCATCTCTAAATGTACGCAGAGTCCTCCCAAATCATAGAAATCATCTAATCTATAAACCGTGATTAACATCACTAAACCATGCGTAGCTGTTGCATCATATATGAACCCTTTCTTAACTGAGACATGACAAAAGACCACCTTCCCCATTCACTTCTGATGGATTTCTATGAACTAAAGCTAAATCAATCTAATAAAACAAGCAAAATGAGGCTTCGATCTGAACCCCAGCTTTGTTTGGAGTGTGTACGAGCAGCAGTTTCAGACGGGTCTACCTCCAAACAACAAGGTACCGGTCTTATACTGTACAATCAAGGCTATTTAGTCAACAGGGTTTAGCGTTTCCATCACAGAATAACTGGAATATTTCTGCAAAACACGGAAACACAAGAACACGCATCCTTAAAATTAGGACTTCAACAACCTTCGGCAGAGCAAAAAGCCTGTGTGTGTGTGTGTGTGTGTGTGTGTGTGTGTGTGTGTGTGTGTGCACGTGTGTGCACGTGGGTTTCCTATATTGTGCTCCAATCCAGGCATTCCCTATTGTTATGAAAATCTAGTGGGAGCAGGTGTGTGTGTGTGTGTGTGTGTGTGTGTGTGTGCGTGCGTGCGTGTGTGTGTGTGTGTGCGTGCGTGTGCGTGCGTGTGCGTGTGCGTGTGTGTGTGTGTGTGTGTGTGTGTTCATTGAGGGCCTTTTGTCTGAGGGCCGGATGTTTTCATGAATGGGAAGAGCTTTTCTGGGACTGAGCCAAAAGTCTTGGGACCGTTTTGTGAACAGAATTATTTTAGCACAGAATCTAAACACAGAGAGTAAACCTGCTGTGATGCCATTAAACCAAAAAGAAGGAAATCACGTTTGATGTCATATATGATGTTGTTCCTCTCCACTGCCAGGATTAAAGCCATGAAAAACACACCGCTGCACTTCTGGAACAATGCTGTGGGTAAATAAGCTGTTGGGTCACATGTAAGCGTCATATTTATGAAACTGCATCGCTGCAGTGCTTTTATTTTGAAATTTGACAGCGATTTTACACTGAAAGCGTGTGTGATTTCCTGTCTAGCCCTAGGTTCGCTGCACAAATTAACGCATCCCAGAAGCGGCACGCGGCGAAAATAGAACCCAGTCCTATCTGTAGCGGCGCGGCTGTAGTGCGGCGTGCTGCTTCTGGGACACGCCTGGTGATGGTCGCGTTGCTACTGGTTTGAAACGGTCCATAGACTATAATGGATTCTATTTGATACAGTGACATTCCACACCGCTGATGCTTTCAGTGTGAAACCGGGATTAGAGGCAACGTGGTCTTATTGATTTGAATAATTCACGTTGATCTAGACTGAATAATAAAATTATTAAAACATAAAAGCTGTTTAAACTTAAACATCCTCCCAGTGAGCCACTCTTCCTTTGTTATGTTCGTAATTCCTCACAGCTGGCACTGACTATTGTTAAGTCAAAATCCAGTGGGACGGTTTTAATAGATTGTTTTGGTGCTTCTGATTTATTAATGATCAAGATTTAAACTGGAGAAAAAGAAACGCTTCAGGAATGCAGAATAATCAACAAAATCGTACTTTTTTCCCAGTCAGCAAACACACCATTGCTAAATGCTAATTCATGCTAGCACAAACGAATGCTGCATGAGGAACTTTTCAAGTTAATCACAAATATTTAGTTTTAATTGTATTCTGGTGTTTATAAATCTTTGAGATTAATCATAATCAGTAAAAATGAATATTAGCAGGTCAGGGTTGTACAAGAATCTGCCAACAGAATCAGAATCAGTGCAGCTCTTCTGTTAGCAAACAACCACTTCAGAGACAACATTTCAAATGTGCTTGAATTTTGTGCTGCTGATTTGGGCATTTCAAGTTAACAAACAAACATTAAAATCTACTTTAAACTGATTAAGATGACCTTAAGAGCATTAAACCATTGGTGGGTGCAGCTTCCTGCAGCGTCAGAGGGTCAGCCACCCACCTGTGTAGTAGGCAATCCTGGAAATGTCTGAAAAACAAGCAGAGAAATAACAGTTAGCTGATATGTTTTAGCTGTGAGCCTCCAAGAATAAAACCCAACAAAAGGTCTACTGAGTCTCATCCTACAGCAGGTGTCCTCTCATGGTCTGCTCAACAATTTGTGTCAGTTTAAAAGATTCTAAATGAGTTAAGGCCTTTTTATAGACACCAGCATTTCACTGGGATATCGATTGATTTTTTTAAACCAATTTCCAATTGTTACTTGATTCCCGTCTGAGTCTTAATGTGTTAAAGGTTAACTGTTTGAAAAGAGTAAAGGTTAAAGCTGCAGAGCAGTCTCATTGTTCAGTGGTGAGGTTCAGCAGCTGGGAGAGGAGGACGACCAGACCTTTGGTCTTTGACTGGAGACTGGACGTTTTTTTTATAAACAGGTTTTTGCCAAACTCGTTTCACAAAAATGAAGAAGAAGAAGAAGAAAGAAGAAAATCAAAATTAAAAACTAGTGATGCACCGATATGAAAGTTTTGGGCCGATACCGATATCCCATATTAAGATCACTGTTATGGCCGATAACTGATATTCGCCAATACTGACATACTGACATTAATGCTTCTAAAATCAGCAGATTGTGTATATAATGAAAAATTATTAAAGCTGAATTTGCGTTATTATGTACACACAGCGCGCACACTTACGGTTCTGAGATGATTTCATTCACTGTTCACATGACTAAACAATTACACATCACCCCCTCACCCTCTGAAACAGGCAAACAAATAGAGACGAGATGGAAAAATATATTGGTTGTTATTACCGGCTCGGTTTTATTAATCGAGCCGATACCGATATGTTAGAAAAATGACTAACATCGGCCAATATTGATGCCGATATATTGTCCATACCTATAAAACACATATTTATTACAAAACTCAGAATGTAAAGGCTAAACAACCCATCTGCTAATCATGAAGGCAAAAAGGCTAATCAAGGGATGCATCGGCATCAATATTGGTAGTAATTTTTCAACATATTGGTATCGGTCAGTTAATAAAAACTGGACCAATTTTAACAACCGATATCTTTTCCATCTTGTTTCCATTTGTTTATCTGTTTCAGAGGGTGGGGGGGGTGGGGGGGGTGATGTGTATTTGTTTAGTCATGTGACCGTGATTGTAATCATCTCAGAAAAGTAAACGTGTGTGTACATAATACCGTAAATTCAGCTTTAATCATTTTCATTCTAAACAAAATCTGCTGATTTTAGAAGCTCTATCAGTATATTGATATCGGCAAATATCGGTTATCAGCCGTAGTAACAGTGATATTAATATCGGATATCGGTGTCAGCCCAAATATTTCATATTGGTGCATCAATAGGCTAATCTATTTTTATTTCCTACTTTGTTAGACATCATCGATAAAACAGCCCCATAACTCTGACAGGAAGTTCAGGAGACGCTTTATGGCAACAGGACACCCACTTATGGCACTGATTGGGTTGTGTGAAAGAGGAGGGTAAACAGATAAGTGCCTGAGTGCTTCAGACACCCTAATGTACACTCTAGTACCGGCCGGGTCAGAAAGCCCACATAAACTCAATGAATGGTGAGAGACGGCGCTGGTCGTCAACAGAGATGATGTCATGCAAGAGGAAAAGCCACAGACTGACTAAAGGCCACAAATGTGATCCCATGGTGGCTTCAACAGTGACAACTACTGAGTAATATGAAACCACAACCGTTTATATTAGCAGTAGATCCTTAAAACGTTACTAACATGCTACAGTATAGTAGCAGCCTTCAAAAGTAACACCTGATAAATAATAAACAAATTATTTGTCAGAACCCATGTCCCCAAACCAGCCTCTCCCAGCTAGCCGATCTCCACCATGGACCACAACTCCCAGCATGCCCCTCGCGGGGATTCCCTCCACGTCGCACCTACGTCACGAACCGCGACTATATACGGAAGTCGCCTCCCCAGCTCACCACTCAGTCATCGTTTCTTCGGATCTATGATCAGAGTTTCCAAGCAACCGATCCATCTTACGAACTCTCAGCTCACAGTAAGTGTTCTTACTTACTTCTGGAAAACCCAGCATTTCCGTGTCACTTCATTGACGCTCGAACGCTCGGGGATTCCTAGATTAAACCGTGAGCCGGCGTTTCACCGACGCTATCACTGTGAGACCACGCTCTCTACAAGCTCAACTCCCGTATCCAGCCGACCAGTCTGACATTATTAGAGAACATTAGGGATGATCTGATCACATTTATTTACCTCAGAGTTTGAGTTCTTTGACTTCGAGTATCTGCTGATATCAAGTCCTGAGCTGATAATTCCTAGTTAACCTTATTTTTATTTCTTTGTTGTTTGTTTCTTTTCTTTCTGTATTTATGTTGTTTCCTTAGTTTACTTGCCAAAAAGCATCACTCTCTACATCTGGAAATGTGTTACTTTTTCGGCACTCGTACTTAAAACTATCCCACGACAGGGTAGGCAGGTCATGACAAGCTTAAAGTCGTGATGAGACAGCAGCTCATACCGCGGCTCCAGGAGATTGTGAAACCCGACACCATCCAGTGTGATAAATACTGCCATCTTGGCTGCGACCTTTTTGCTGTCAGTAGGCAATTGCTCTTTGTTTTTTAACGTATTTTTGGGTGTCGGCTGGTTCAAAGGTTTTGCCCGAGTTGCGGCAGTGCGCTGGGAGTGTTGACTAGGGTGTTTGGTTTGTTTTTAAGGCAGCAGACTAGAACGAGATGCTGAGGTGACTCACTGGTGACACCTGAAGGGAAAAGCTTGTATTCAGGCCACTACAGGGGCGCTGTACAGTATCAGCAGCGGCGCATCGAAAAGCCCTAAAACCGCTGCAGAAAAAGATCAAAAATGGCTTTTCTTGCTAGTTGGTACATATCGATGGTTGGTGCTATTGACGTCCTGATTTTCCTCTCAGGCTCTTCCATATCAGAGCAGGGCTGTACAGTGCGACAAAAAAAAACAGTCTGTGCTTGTCTATTTTTAAACGTAGCACTGGTGCAACATCTTTGAATTACTATTTTCCCCAGAACTTTACTGAACAAAAGTAAGTTGCGTGTAAGAAAAATGCTTTTTACTGTCTGGCGCACAGTGTGGTCATCTGGATGTAGCGGAGGAAAATAAAGGAACCAGCAAAGGCACAAAGGCAGAACCGGTCCATAGTTTGGGATCAAAAGTGCAGCTACACGCAGACTGGCTAATGCTAAAGCTAACGGGTAGCAGTCTCACGATCAAGTCGTCGTCGTCATCGTCGTCGTCTTCCTCCGCTTATCCGGGTCCGGGTCGCGGGGGCAGCATCCCAACTAGGGAGCTCCAGACCGTCCTCTCCCATCCACCTCCACCAGCTCCTCCGGCAGGACCCCAAGGCGTTTTCAGACCAGATTGGTGATGTAACCTCTCCAACG